TAAAAACACTAATCCCCTATAAAGCATACCCTTCTATAAGGGAATAGCTAAAAGTATCACTACATAGAATAATATCTATATAATAAATAAAGCCCTTAAATTTAATAAGTACTCTTTTACTAATTAGTAGTATATTATTAAGGTAGCTATAGCTAGAGCCCTTATAAATACCCCTAGAGGGGACCCTCTCTATACTATAATTAAGGCGATAAATAATAGCCCTAAATACCTCTACGCAGAGGCTACATACGTTTCTAGCTATCCTAAGGAGTAGCCCTTCTTTGCACAAGCCCTCTATAATACTAAGGCAGAAGTAGCCTAAGCCTAGACTTAGTAGGGCTTGAATATTAGTGAGTGCGCCTTACGCTAACTAATAGAGAGAGCGTTGCTAATAATAGCATAGCTGCTGCGAAGGTATTAGCTAGCTTAATTAAATAAGAAGAATAGCAGATAGCAAAGTAGTAATAGGGATAGTATTTAATAGTAGTATAGGTGATACATAAGAGAGAGGATAGGTCAATAGTTCAGTAGTTAGTAATTAAGTAATTAAGTAATCATAAACTATATTATTACTAAAGTGAAGTTAAAGATAGTGAAGTTATATGTATATATAAGTGCGGCTGAGGTTAGGAGAGTTATAATCATATAACTAAAGGCTGTATATATTATTAGGAGGCATAGAGTTAGGAGGTCTGTCGCTCTAAGCAGGTAAAAATCACAGTGAACAGCTAGAGGCTATATTTAAGCTATAAGTAAATAAGGATATTATTAATTAATAAGGACTATAAAATTACTATTAAGCTTTATTAAGAGTATTAAAATACTCTTATAAGTTAAAATAGTTACTATAACTAACTCTTAATAAGTTAAGTAGCTATATAGTTAATCTTAATATTAATAAGGATATTAAAAAGCTTATATTAATCTTTAAGATAATCTAAGAGATACTTTATACTTACTAAAACCTCTTAAAGTTAGTTATACTTATTACCCTTATTTTAGCTTTTATATTTCTTAGTTTACTTATAGAGTAGCTTAAGTATTTTATATAACTCTATAAGGATTTATTAGTTTTTATTAATAAGGATATCCTCACTTAAAATATAATCTATATTATTAAGAAGACCTAAAGTATAAAAGATATAATTATTAATCTAGCTATATTTAAGTAAAGCTTATTTAATTATATTATATATTAAGTTCTATTAAGTAGTATTATTTAATATTAGATTTAGCTCTTAAGATAACTCTTTTTATAGAGTAAAATTAGTATTATTATTAATAGCTTTATTATTAATAGCTAAAAAGCTTTTAGATTATTATAGTAATAATCTAATATACTTAATAATATTTTAAAACTTACTAATAAGACCTTTTTACTTCTAGTAAGCTAAGTTATTTTAAACTCTATTAGTATTAAGTAGATAGTTAGACTCCTCCTTAAATACTTTATTATTAACGCTATAAATAATAATATAACTAATAAAGTTAAAGATATAGCTATAGTATTAAATTTAGTATTATTAAGTATTAGTTTCTATATATAAAGATAATAGAGAAGAAAAGAGAGCTTTAAGGTAAGTATTATTATTTATAGTATTATTAGATATAATAATACTAACCTAATTAATAAAACCTTAATCTATAAGAGTAATATAAATAGTTATAATAATATTCTTACTAAAGTAAGCGCTAAACTAATAGTAGAAAGCTAATAAATACTAAGTCTATTTCCCTAATTAGTTAATAAAATAGCTAAATATAATAATAATAATATATTAATTAAAAGAGGTCTATAAATTAAATAATATATAGACCTTTATAAATACTTTTTATATCTTACTTCTAATCTATTCTTTCTTAGAAATATAGAGGTAATATAGTTAAACTTTCTAAAAATCCCTTAACTAATATATTTAGTTATAGATATTATAATTAAAGAGACTAAATAAGTATTATATATACTAATTACTAAATATTAAGAAAAAGTTACTAATATTAATAAAGAAGCTAATAGCTAGCTCTTTAATCTAAGAGACTCTATTATAAAATATAGTAATAAAAGTAGAGTATTAATACTTAAAGAGGTACCTATTATCTCTAGAATTATTACTAAATAGATATTTAGTATAGAGGTATTCTTTATAGATATAGTAAGTAGATTTAAAATACTTCTTAGCGCTAAATATAGTAGTAGCTTTCTATAGCTTTCTAAAGGTATTAGCTTTATTATAATATTAGTAAACCTAGTAAGTATTACTTAGATATATTATTAATATATAAAAAAGTATAATAAAAAATAAATAAGTAATAAATATACCTCTAATACTACTTAAGAGGATCTTATAAATAAAGATACTTTTATTTTTAATCTAAGAAGTATAACTTTAACTACTTTTCTTTAAAATAGCTTCTATATTAATATAGTACTACTCCTTCTAAATAGTATAAAGTAAAGCTTTAAAAGTAATATACTTATTAAGGTTAATAGTTAATATATTACTAATAGTTAAAAAAGCTTAAATCTAAATAGTAATTCCTTAAGAAGTTACTTTATAATTAATAAAGTAATTAATATATTAGTTATATATTAGTAGAGGTATTATAATAATAAGAAAGAGGTTAAAAAAGGTATTTAGAAGTATATAGAAATAGAGCTTTAAAGTATAATAATAGTAGTAGTAGTAATAATAGTACTAATAGTAATATTAAAAAAAGTTATTTTTAAAAACTAATAAAGAAGTTAAAAATAAGCTTTTTTTAACCTTTAGTAAAGAAACTAAAAATATATTAATTAAGTAATATAATAAAAAGTATATTTCTAATACTTTTAGTACTTCTTAGTAGTAAAGCTAATATTACTAAGAAGTACTTAGCTCTACTTTATTACTTATTAATATAAAAATATTACTAAACTAATATTATTAACTACTTACCCTTTTTTTTTAGAGATATATTATAATAAAACCTAATAAGTTAATAATAAATCTATTATATAGGGAATTATAGAGATATTAGTTTAAAACTAGCTTAAGTTATTAATTATAATATAAAAGCTTAAAAGGTTATAACTTTAGGTTACTAGAAAAGAATATCTAGTTAACTTTTTTATTTTTTTATTAAATCTTTTAAAAATTCTAATTAATTTAGAGGCTAGATTTTTATTCTTCTAAGTAATATTAGTTTAATTAAGATAGTTAAACTGAAGGTATTATAAGTTTAGCTAATTAACTCTAAAAAAAGCTTTATTTTAATTAGCTAATTAATTGATTTGATTGATTTAGCTTGATTGGGTAGCAGCGCTGGTAGGGGGTTTCATAGTAGGGAAAAAAGCAGTAAAAGTACCTCGGTTAGTGATGCTTCGCAGTATGCGTACCCAGGTGTATCTATGTGAAGGAGGAATCATGCCATCATGCCCATCAACTTGATTGGGCTTTACTCTTATTTCAACTTCACTGTCATTATGTTTTGGCCGCTTATTAATCGGCCGACTCGGAATTCCGGGTGTCGTGCATTGACACCACGAGCACCCCAAAAGTGGGTTGCGTTCTTCTTTGACGGACAATCGGAATTGCGAGCCTCCTATTCGATGTCCTCAGCGCCCATGTTGACCAAGGTCATTGAGGCGGCCGCCCGGAGACACACGGAGCAATTTGTCGAGTAAAACCAAGAACAACTCACATCACAAGATCTGACGGCTGGCAGTTAGTTCCTAACTCCCCGACGACCTCCCGGATCGCATGTGCTGAAGAATGTATTTAACAACGACTCAATTCGAAGGAATATGGAAATCACTGGGTTCAAGGCATTTCCCAAGTTTCCGATTATCATTTGCGATCACCAAAACTCGTTGTCTAAATCACTGAAAATATGCATTTGCCATCCGACCACAACATAAGTCAAGACGGCTACAAATGGATTGCCAAAGCAGTCGACTCCCTCGACCCCGAAACCGACTACGAACTCATCTGGCGCCTAACATCGAGCTACCACCTCTCAGACTTTGCCAACAACCTCATCTACACCCTCACCTTCCCAAATTTCGTCGTATCAAGCCATGGATCTACACCTGTCTGGCGTTCAGATGGCGGTAAAGTGGTCCACAAAGCCAGCGATCGTGTCGACAGAACGGAGCACTACAATATGGCCTGGTGGTACTACGGGCCCAGCGACCAACGCTGTCGAGATGCCGTTGAGAGGATCAACCAACTGCACGCAGGTTTAGCGAGCCGATACCCAGACACCTTCACCCACAACGAAGACTACGTGTACACGCTCACCTTCAGCGCTGTGCTCATGCACCGTCTCCGACTACGCCTGGGGCTCTCAGGCTTCACTGAGAAGCAGAAGATTGCAGCCCATCACTTCTGGCGGGACATGATGCCGCTGTTCAAGCTTGAAGGCAACGGCGTACCAATCAGTGGCTTTCCAGACGACTTCGAGGGCTGCATTACGTTCTGTGAGGCCTATGAGAACACCCCTCGCGAATATGATGAGAGGGCGCGCTATGTTGGACTGTCGATTTTCAACCTCTTTGCATATCGGTACTTTCCTCAGGGGTTGCGGTGGTTTGGCATGGCATTTCCCCGTACGCTCTCGCTGCCGACGACGTTGAAGTACTTCCGCATTGAGCCGGCCAATGCAGTACTTGGAGCGGTCATCGTGTTCATCGTGAGGACAATGTTTCTCATTTCAGAAGCCTTGCTGCCTGATCCTAAAGTACCCTTCTTTGAGCAACTAGAGACCTTACCGGAGGTGGAAGTGAAGAAGCGCAAGGAGGAGAGCAGGACGCTGGATAAATCATACGAGGCATTCATCAAAGAGAAGATGAGCGGCCCAGGGTGCCCATTCAGTGCGAAGATGCAGTAGGAGAGAAGTGTGGAAGCCCAGTCTGCAAGTGCTCGAAACAGCTTCGCTCAAGTCTAATCTATCATAAGCGTTCTTTCTACCCGTGATTCTACACCAAGAATTGGCTGAAGTCGTTAAACCATACTCTATATCTACTCCTTTGTCACCTCCTTCTTCAGCCAGGCTACCCAGCCCTCGTCCGCCAAAATAGATCTAACTCTTGCTTCTAACCACTCCGTGTTTCCCCAGAATCCCCAAGACGCCTGGAATCGGCACCAATCGACTAACGCCGTCTCCCAGTGGCGGACAAAAACATCCCAATCGTACTCCGATGGGCCCTTCCCTGAAGGTCTCTCCTTCAACAGTGTTTCCCGATACTGTTCCAGCAATGCTTTCTCTCCTTTATCCATGGGCAGCTGATCGGGTATATCCTCATGCTGCGTGAGCATCTCAAGAGGTACTGAGCAGGTAAAGAGCTTGGCGAGGTCGCAGGTTCCGACGCCCAGTCCGGCGTATTGAAAGTCGAAGAAGACAACCTTGTCGCCGGCCTGCGTGGTGAACAGGTTCTCAGACTTCACATCGCCATGGATGTAGGATTCGAACGGCCTTCCGGAGGGCGTGAGAAAGTCAGCTACCAACTCGGCGACGGACTTGGAGGAGCCGTCGTCGCAGAAAGCCGAGTTCCATTCGGAGTAGTCGTCCTGACACAAGGAGCCGTACTCATTTCGCCTCGTCGCCAGGTAGGTGTATCCCCCGTTCAGCCACAGCTTGGGGTCTGCGGGTGCTTGACCAGAGTCTCTGCGTTTTTGCTCATCCAAAGGCGGCAAGAGAAATCGGTTCAGGTCATCCGGCAGTGATTCCCACGAACTGCTGTGATACTTGGCGAGCCAGTCTAGCGCAGCTCTGACTTGCAATCGGTTAAGGACCAGTCTCTTCTCGCCCGCGACGGGGAATTGAGGGCGAAGATCGGTGATGATGGTCGCCATCAAGGCCTCCAGCTCGTTGGCGCGTGGCTTGCCAGTCATGTCTCGCGTCGAAGCGAGGCACTTCGCAATCGCGACATCGTCGCTGAGTTTTGGTGCGATTTCCGAGTAGAAGTACTGCTCGACTTCGTAGCTGAGCATCTTGCGCAAATGCCCCTCATCCCCAGCCTTGGCGCGGGGCGGCGAGATGAGTTTGATAACGAGGCGATACGACCCTTGCGCGTCCGGCCGCAGCGCCGGCGAGATGGCGCTCGCGTCGAAGTTTCCATTGACAGCGTCACTCGGGCGAGCGGTGATGGCGCAGATGTGACCGTAGCCGGCCCACAGCGTCTGGAGCTCGACGATGGAGACGAGGTCGAGGCCCAGCCAGGAGAGCATGATCTCTGCGACGCGTCGAGGCTCCTTGAGAGACGCCATGGTGAAGGAAACTGCTGCTGCGGCCAGAACGAGTTGGGTTGAATCGGTGCCGGTGTTCGGGAACGACGTTGCCGCAACGAACTGGGTGAGGTTGGAGGCAGGGCAGGAGCCTCCGGCGAGCGCCGTGTCCATTTTGAGATTGTTACCCGGGTGGGTCCGGTGACTTCAGCGGCTCACTCAGTGAGTGGGTTTTCATTCCACAGTGAGCTGGCTCACTCTGAGATTTTCAGTCTCATCTGAATGCCTCACTTTGCTCGGGAATCATGAAAATTTGAATTTTCACCAGCCCCTTTCTCACGGACGAGCATTTGTAGTCATTAATTCTTTTAGGCAAATGCCGAGAAATAAGAAAACAATAACCTAATATCGTACTCAAGCCGTGGCTTACTCCAACTCCTTGGCAGTTTCACTGGATTGACGGACAGCTTACCACAGTAGATAGTGGAGCCAGCTGGCAACGGCTGGAGTCTCTATCGATCGCCACAAGAAAATCGGAGCTTGGACACCATTTTCTCTCACGGCGTCATCGTGAGAAAGACAATCACCTCCCCTACAAGACTCGGAACCTTGACGCAGGTGATCGGCGTAAAAGAGCCTCAGTGTGTTGAAACAGAGATATCCAATCAATTCACTGACACAGTAAGCAGTCACTCCGGAGGCCATCAGGGTGTCGAAGACCCACCCACGAAGTCGCCATTTAATACTGAGATGCTCTTTCCACTTTCTCACACATTACTCTGATAACACCTGCTCAACTCGTTTCTCATATATTGTATTGAACTTCTCTGTCATGGGAAGACTTCAACCTTCAGTCGGCCAGCCGCCGGCGAGCTTCCGGAAAGCCGCCCGGGCTAAGAAGGCCAAGGTCACGCTTAACCAGCTCATTCCATCGCTCCTCCCTACACATCCCCGCGCTCGCAAGGGAATCGACACTGCAGAACTCATTGTTGAGCCAAAGCCAGCGAAGAAGCAGCTGGACACCTCAAAAGATGGTTCAGCCAGGCCACTTGAAGCAGACTCCCCACCAAGTGTTGTCCTTCGCGTGGCGGATACTCTCACGGCAGCTCACTCCCTCATATCTGACCGACCAGGTGAGGGCCGGGTCGCCATTCTCAACATGGCTTCACCGCTTACGCCTGGAGGCGGGTTCATCAATGGAGCGGGGAGCCAGGAGGAGTCACTCTGCATGAGATGTACTTTGCTTCCTTCTCTCAAGGATGAATGGTACAGGCTGCCAGAGCTTGGTGCAATCTATACTCCCGATGTCTTGGTCTTCCGGGGAGAGGACTCCGACGAAGTGCTAGAGAAGAAGGAACGCTGGTTCGTCGACTGCATTAGTGCGGCGATGCTGCGGAACCCAGAGACATACCGAGACGAGGCAACGGGATTCAGTAGCTACGTCAACTACACGGATCGCCAGCTCGTCCTCGAAAAGATGAAGATGGTTCTGCGCATTTGTCAAGCCAGGGGTGTGAAGAAGGTAGTTCTCGGGGCATGGGGTTGTGGCGCTTTTGGTAATCCGGTCGGGGAGGTTGCTTCGGCTTGGAAGAAGGTGCTCCTCCCTCGAAACGACAATAAGGGAAAGAAGAAGGGCAACAAGGAAACTTGGAATGATATTGACAAAGTTGTCTTTGCCATCAAAGACGCCGGTATGGCTGATGCGTTCGAGGCGGCGTTTGGCAAGGGGTTGACGCGGGAAGAAGCCGACGAATCAGGGGATGAGGATGAGAGTGAAGTCGACCCCGAGGAGGCGAATAGGGCTGAGCTTCAAGAGCGTATACGTGAATTGGAAGAACGCATCGAAAAGACCGTGAAAGCGCAACTCAAGGAAGGTTTAAGGGGGATACTTGCGGGGCTGGAGAGCCAATTGCCTTCAAAGGAGAGAGGGAACGCCGCCGACGAGGTCTCCGAAGAGAAGTCCGAAGAGGAGTCCGAAGAGGAAGAATATTAGCTTACTGAGATGTTTTGTGGAATAATTGCAGAACACCTCCAAAATACAGTACTAGGTGCATGAAGAGTCTCATTCCGAGGGCCACGGCCTCCTTCGGTGGCATGCGCAAATCATCTTCCTTCTGGCTCCGTGCTTTCTGAAAGGCCTCGGCTAGCTTACCTCAAACGTCTCAAAAGAATCGAGCGACAAGTTGAATGATCATCCTCTGCTTATGGATACTTCCGTCGGAGTCGGCGGGCAGCTCAAGCGAACAGCAAAATGTCCGATACCCGAATTTCCGAGGCTTAAATCACGAGCATAAGTTGGGCATAGTCATGTCTTCATAAAGAACTCAGAATCTCCAAATATTTACGCGTTGAGCAACTTTCTCGTACGAACTTTCCTTGATTGTCCCAAGAAAGCCATTAGAGCCGCGCCTTAAACCGACTCGTTCGGGGGCCGGTATTCTCTCCGGAGCTATTGTGGGTCACATTGCCGAAGCCTTCGGTGCGGCCCCGGCCCCAACTCCGGCCCGAGTGTCGCAACAGGGTTTGCTGGCCGAACGGCGAAATATGAGTGGATCGGTTTCGGCATACAAGACGTTGCGCGAGTAAGGCTCTGTGGACTTCGTCGCTTCAATTACGGTCTTCAGTAAAAGCCGACCATATAGCTGATGCCCAGCCCATGTGTCAGACCAGACTGAAACGCCCAATTGCCTAGGTACTGACCAGAAAGGATTCGACTCTTCGGCAAACTTTTCAGCAATTAGCTCCTCCCGCTTCCAGACGACTGCCATCCGAACTTCCTCCCTCTCCCGCGCGCATCTCCTTCGTAAACCTCTCACGATGGCGACCGCCCCGACGACCTTTCCTCAGTTTTCGAGCCTCCCCACGGAGCTCCGCCGTTCTATCTGGGAAGAAGCGGTGGCTGGCCCATCAATGCACGTCGTTGATGTTTGCTTTCCATCGCGTCGAGGTAATAGCCGCAGCAGACGTGCTTTTCAGGGGTTAACCCTTGCAGCCAATCATCATCCTCCGCGAGAAGCCTCTTCTTGGAGCAGGCACGAGTACATCGCCTTCCTCGACAGTGTACCAAGCATTCAAGATGAAGACAGCCGGCCGACAATGACATGGCCGCGCCGCAGTACGCGAGACCCTAGTATGTATCTTCACAGAAGGTTTCAGCGCCAGGCCTGTCATGAGGCGGCATCGGTGTCGTCTCTCAAAGCTGCAAACATCAACACCGTCTACTTCCCTGGCCAAGCCAGAAAGTTTGAGTATGACAACGACCGAGACGTGCTGCATCTCCGTTTTTCCAGCCAGTACCACGCCGAGTATGTCGAGCAGACGAGTTCATCGCACGGCAGTTCCCATTTCAGCAGTATAGCCGAAGCTCTAGAGGCTCACTGGAGTACAGAGATGGCGCTCACTGTGTGGCAGGCACGACGCATAGCCATCGATGTTAGAGAGACATCGATGCCCTTGAGTCTAGTCGAGATTGAGTATTTGGCATCTTGTATTCAGAAAGGCTTGGAATGCATTTACCTGATAGACGATGCTGAGGAAGAGGGCAGTAAGAGTGGACCAGAGCATCTCAATGCGTCGAGTCTTCAACAGAGAAGGAGACTTTATCGCTTACTGCATAGCAGACAGCTGAAGCAAAACGTCGCAAGAGAGCCCGACGTTTTTCAGGGCGTCGGGAAAACGTACCGAGAGGTCTTCGATTTCGAGAAACTTGGATGGACTGAGGCTCATCCTGCATTTGGCTTTGCATGCCGCCTCTTCGCGTCAATTGATGCACAGCAATATGACGGTGGCGAGGAAGTCTTTAAAGGAGTCAGGGTATTATTAGCAGAAGATGACTTTGTATAGCACCTTAGAGAGCGTGCGTTGCAAGATACTCATGAGTTCAGCAAGGGTCAATGAAGAGATCACTTAGCTCCTTAAGTTTATGCTACTTAGTCTCATTTCACCAATTTCACGGTCAGGAATTGCGTCCCTGCATGTTTTACTCAAGATGAATATGCCCTTCCCAAGACGATAATTGGAAGAGTGACATGAGCGACGAATGAGAGTCGCGTGGATCACCAAAATCCAAATACCAGCTCAGAGTTGACAAAAGCTCATGTAGTCTTGGCCGTATGGGTATGGCTCATAGAAATGAATTTAATGGTTAGCTTCATTGCTTTTGTTGGGCCAATACGTCTATTTCACGACACTGAAGGTTGCTTCAATAACTAAGGTACCTATATATACGTGATTGGTAGACCACCAAGGCTGAGCTGAACCACAGGCTTCTACACCTTGTTGCCGATTCATTTAGATGCTTTCGCCGCTCCGGCTTCCTTCTTCCTGACGTCATAAAAACCCAAACCCCAAGTAGAAAAGAACATGGCTACAGAGAGGCCCGTGGTGATATACATCGTTCTCTGGAAAGCGACGGCCCATGCCTTTACCACGTTGGGCAGGTCAGCAGCAGACACCTGGCTCCTGAAAGCGGTCGCGCCCGCTGTGAGAACGGCTTTTGGATTCACATTAGGCGCATGTATCTGAATCTGGTTGATGACGGTGTTATCGAAAACCGTGTTGCCAATACTGATGAGCACCGCACCGCCGAGTCCTTGTACGAAAACAAGGATGGTGAGGGCGATGGCCACCAGTGTTGGCGGAAGCGCCGTTTGAACAGCGACGATAGCCTGGCTCAGAAGTAAGCGATCTAAACCTTTGAAGTCGTGCTGTAGAACCTACCATCTGCAGTCCTAGACCTCTGCCACATCCGTATAGAATCTGATAACCAATCCATTTCCCCGCACTTGTATCGGTAGACCAGGTAGTTATCAGACCTGCACCAATTGAGGTCAGAATGGCCGCAAATACTGCCCACGGTAGGTAGTAGCCCAGTTTGGAAACTGTTTCCTGTCAATATGTTGTTCTCTGAGAGTTTTGAACCGTTGATTCTCACCCATCATGCCTGAGAGAAGAGTCATGACAATGGACCCGATGATACTTGGCAACATGTGGATGCCACTCTCCATAGGGCTGTCGCCAAGAATACTCTGGAAGTAAATAGGGATGAAGTAAGTCGCGATATACGTTATTCCAAACAAACAAGTATTCATTGCGGCTCCGCATGCCACGACCTTGTTCTTGAACATCTCAAGTGGCATGAGAGCATTCGCGCCAGCTCGGTATTCCCAGCCCATGAACAGAATGGTCGCTCCGGCAAACCCGCAGAAGAGTCCAATCACGATGGCGCTGCTCCAGGGGTATTCAGCACCACCGTAGTGGAGCGCTAGCAGGAGCTGGACGATGGCTCCAATCAGGATCCCTGAGCCTACAACATCGAACTTCTTCAGGATGTTGCGGTCAGTGAGCACCGCTGTGAACTTTGGTTTAGCCATCTGTTCAGGAATGTAGACCAGTGCAAGCAGAATGCAAGCAAAACCTCCGATGGGGAGATTAATCCAGAAGCCTGTGATGCTGGTCAGAACCTGCTGGTCCTAGAGACGGGCACTGCTTGATACTTACACCAGCGCCAATTGGTGTACTGTGTTAGCGAGCCACCAATGAGCGGGCCTGCAATCAGTCCGATTTGCGAGATCGCAAGCATGATGCCCATCATAGCGGGCCGCTGTTGAGCGGACACCATGCCGTAGATGATGATCATTGAGCCATTGAAAAGACCAGAAGCACCAATGCCAGCCACTGTTCGGCCCGCAATGAACTGAACTGATGATTGTGAGAGGGCGCAGATCAGTGAACCAACCTCGAATATGACTAGGAACACGATGTACGTCCACTACAACATGTGAGCGCTGATATGTAACATTTGGCCTTGGGTAAAATAAATCTCTCACCTTGTTACTGAAGTAAGTGAAGAACTTGCCGGTCAAAGGCTGTAAAGCCGATCTTTGGTATGTGAGCAATAACGTCTGATGGTTTGACCAACAGAACATGGCTCATGACTTACACAGCTAATTGATACGAACTCACGTACCAGCCGATATCTTTGACAGAGTGAAACTCATTGGTAACAGTAGGGGTTGCCTTTGTGCACCATTAGCTATATGAGAATTGCTCAAAGAGTGTTCTGATTTACGTACCGTTGAGAGGATCGCATTGTCTAAATTAATTAGTATGGCGCTCAGGTTGAGAGCTGCCATTGCGAATAGCAGCTTGTAGCCTGTGACGTGCTTTGGTCCATCGTTGATATCCTCTAGGGGGTCTTGGAGCTCCTTATCCGCAGCTCCCAACGTATCATCGCCCGACGCTGGCTCGATGTCTTCATTTCCGATGAACTTGGTGTCTTCTGTAAAAGAGCCACGTGACTCTAGCACATTGGGTGTAATATCACTGTTTTTGGGCTCCATTAGCTTTGAGGCGAACGATGAGATCCTGCGAGATGGATCTACAAAAATGGTGAGAACGGGTGGCTAGGCTGTGAGGGTTCAGTAGTGCAGTAGTACAGAAAACCACAGCGCATCGTTCAAGTGGTAATACAGGCTTAATGTGCAGGCCTTAAGTCACCGAACATTCAAATCTTCGGGGATTAGATGCCCTGGAATCGGTACACATCGCTTAAGGTTTTGACCGACTCAGCAGGTGGTATCACTCTGTCTCGCGTGCCGCCGTACTGTCGATCATCATTGCAGAGTTCAGCATCCTCTGAAGGAAGGTACATGCCCTGGATAACATTACTTGTTCTAGAAGTCCCTTTGCCATGTGCAATTCATGCTCAGAGTCTATAGCCTCGAACCTACTGCACGGCGGTATCTTATAATACGGCACAAAAGCTTATGCCGTCGGGTGTGCCAGCCGGCGGATGTGCGAACAAGCTACCATGAGGAAAGTCAGTACTTCCCGCACTCACTATGGGAAGTTGAGCTTGAATCGCATAGAAAGAGCTATCCTCGCCGAGAGTCAGCCGAAGATCAGTTGGTTTTCTGTTGCATATATCTTGACAATAATCTTGCACACAATCGGCGCGGTAATCTGTATTAACCCCCGTTGAAAGCTCCCAAACGGGAACAAGATCACACTGTACTCGGACCGCTTGGGTCGGTTGACGCCGCCGGTGATTTCTAGTAACCCCCCTTGCCCCTGTTTGGCAAGTCTACGTTGGATCCAGCAACTTTCAGATCTGGATTGGGATAGCAAGAAGACTAAGACATGAGCACATACAGAAAGACGCGCCGAGCTATTCCATTCTGTTATGTATGAAGCATCCTCCGGCACAGGAGCGGTTCTCCCCGTCCTGCCGTGAGCTTGTCGTGAACTAAAGTACCCCAAATCCTCAGTGAGTCAGCCACCGCCACCACTTCACCCAGTTTGCATCTTGGTTCCCAGCTGTTTGTAGTTTGTAGCTTGTATCATGTGTCAACTAGTGCACAGCGGAAACCTTCAGCAGAGCATGAGTGCATATTCTGGAAGTTATCCGCGCGTGCCACCTCAGGCTTTCCGGGGTTCGTTTGATCTTAGTGTTAGTACCTGTACAGAGGAACCTTAACCATGTTCGGATTCGCTTCAGTAGCCACCGAGAAGTCTCCTGGCCGACCTACCCCTCACTGAGGGGAGCGGGGAAACACAGCTTAGGGGACCTGAGTCGAAGCTAGGGGAGTGTGAGTTCAACAGTTGAATCGCGAGCAGATGGTCCTGAGCAGAGAATTCGTGGTTCGCAGCACCACGTGCGTACCACGATGAAGAAGAATAGGGCCGATTTCTACATTGCTGCTCATCACTTCAGATGGGCAACTGGTTGTTGGAACAAGCTTCGATTTTTCTGCTCAATGCAGCATGCCGTTTAAACGTGCTTCGCCATCTTTGTTTGCTCTCGCTAATAAATCATGACAAAATTGTCAGCGCTCGACATCGATTGCGATGTCCCAGCTGCCCCCGTAGTAATCCAAGTTCTTCCCGAAACGCAGCAGCAGCACTTTCCATAGCTCTATTGTTGTCCTTGAACTCTCCCCAAAACACGCACCTGTCCGTTTCGCTGCCGGACAAAATCGCATCTAACGTCGGCTCGGTCTCTTCTGAGCTTGGCTGACGACCACGGGACTGGGTTTGCTTTGGGGCGTCCAAACCCCCGGAACCGACACTAATGTAGTGCTTTTCTGGGACGCCAAGCTGCACGCCAAGTGTGTTGAGCTTGTGCGTGACAACCTGCATCAGCACCAAGATCTTGAGGTCGTCATCCCCATCAAGAATCACATCTTCCACTCGCAGGTCGTAGAGAAGCTCTGCGATGTTTTCTCCGCTTTGCAGACCAGAATAGACGGCAGCAAAGATCTGGCGAAATGCCTGGAAGATCTTGGCGTAACACGAGAGTAATAGCAACTTCGTCGGTCCGTCGAGAGCTAACGGGGCTGTTCCGGATCCAGTGCGATCGTGTTTGGTGACGAGATTACTCAACGTCTGCGTATGTTGCAGAATATTTCGCAAGGTTGCCGTTGATCTACCTTTCGCTCCTCCTGGTGAAGTCTCGGCTTTTTGCACAGGATTTGACGGGACCAGCTCGAATAGACACGAAGTAAGGCTAGCAACCTCACATGTCAAGGCCGCATTGAATGAGCTTTCCAGCGGTGGGGGCGGGTCACACTGCTGGTCCTCAATTGGCGGCTCTGGTTCTTTTGGTGGAGGTTCCGAATTGTCAGACGAGGACTCGAGAGATTCACCTGAGCTACTTTGCTCCGATACCGAGTTGACAGAATTTGAGCCGTCGGAGCTCCAAGCCATCCAGTCCGTGGAAAGGTCAGATGCGAAGAAGTTCATCAGCTCGCCATCATGAGCCAAGACCCCAGATAGTGGTGGACTCTCCAAGCCGGACGCCATCTATATCAATCAGTATCGAATGAGGGCCGAGGAGTTAGGGGACTGCACCCAGTGCTTCTACTGACCATTGCAGGATCTATTGGGGTGAGTCCTGTGTGATTCTCTTCCCATGAACCTCGCCTATCGCATGGTTCTTGCCACAGCGCCGGCGGAATGAACGAAATTCCCCTCGGATCAACCAGATGAAGTGAAGCTGATCCTGCCCTCCCTGCTCGCGATCTCGGCGGGCGACCAACGCGACGAGAATGATTCTTCCTGCATTGAACTCCTTTACGACTGCATCTCTCGCATGATGGATTCGGGCCCCCAGCGGCAGGCCAGTCGCATCGTAACTTCTGTGCTCGGCATCGCTCGCAGGCTAGGCTGTTCGTGCGTTTGGAAGGATCGGTGGAAGACATGGTGGTGAGGTGCTGTAGTTTAGTTCGTGTCTTTCGGCCGGATACGAGCAAGCTTCACGTTGGCTTCAATGTGACATGAGGAGGCGAAAGTGTACGCCAGATGACATGAGAGTAAATGCGCTAGCGAAAAAGAAGAATCCGAGGATGTCGGGCCATATACGATAATTAGACGTCCGCTGCACAGTGAATTCAATGCTTGAGCTCGAAATCGGTAAAGTATGCGCTACTATCAGATCTAAGAAAAGATACTAATGCGACGATGTCTGCCCATCATCACATGGGTACGATACTCACTCAGAAGGTACTCGGTCCCGGCATGTCAGTAGTTGCATGCGGGTGCTCAAAGCTGACTCGTGATAAGGTTAAGCGATCATTAATCTTCAAAAAGACAGCCAGCATCAACTGTAGCTGGCGAACTCTAATAACCTGTAGGACGCTGTCAACGACAGAAGGTGAAGCGGAGGATACCGAAGTGTCAGCACTATGCAGGAGAGATGCTCCCAAATGAGGGGTAGCTACATGTATTGAGAGGAGCATCTTGCGGCCCTGACTCCCCGTGTCATGAAAGAACATGTTCTGGGTTACGCCTGACGGCATATCCACGGTAGGGATACTGTGCGAAGGATGCCCCTCAAAAGCAGTAAGGGTTACGTACAACAGAAACTCCCTCAAACTTTGAAGGCGACTTGCGTTGCAACGGGACGCTGGCATCCTAGGTAGAGCTAGGTGAGGGCAGCGAGCAAAGCCTTGTTAACCCCAGCCCAGACCCTTAAGCCCCGTCTTTATTGCCACGGGAAAGGTGGGAGTTCCATGGAACACACGGCACTTTTCGTTATCCGCATTCAGCCTCAGAAAGACGGAGCTCAGGCCACCGGGGGAGATACCGGTACTCGGACAGATACTCGGGTTGCGGAGCGTAGGGGATTTCCGGGGGTCGCGACATGCCCCTTCCCGATCATAACATCGTATCAGGGAGAAAGTAAGTCGCGGTTCCACTGTAAGTAAACAAGCTTTGTGGCAACATACGATTCCAGAGATCTCCTTGGTCGAAAGACTCAATCGATTTGTTTAACTACGGACCGACCTCTCAGCATGTAACAAACACCTGATTGCAACGTCAAGGGACATGGTCCAAGTTACCAGCTCACGTTGCTGACAGCTAGCACAACCGAAGCTTATGCTTTCGCGTTCTGAACTCTATTGTGACAACTGACTCGCCGTCCTCGCCGAACATCAGCCAAAGCTCATCCCATTACTGCGTTAATTACATCGCAAGGCTGTCCACACCACACCCAGTACCATGCAGCTGGTAAAAGGTTCACCTTTTAAACTTCATGTTTCGTTACTGCGAAGGCAACTACCCCTTTCAAAAGAAAGAAAACTACTCAAAGCAGTGTTTTGTGGCGGCGGAAAACCCAGATCAGTATCGAATTGCTTCATAATGAAGACTAGAACCCCAAACTAGCCAGCCAGGTCTCTGCACGCGCCTTCAGTTGACCCATCATTCCAACACCGTAGACCAGCCAGATCTTCCACCTCGCGAGCTCCTCCGGGAACTCCGCTTCTTCGGAAAACGCACTTCCTAAGTATTGACACCCCCCAATTTCACCTCCAAATACTCTGTTTGTGAATACCGCCAGACCTGTATCTCGGCCGAATGGCATTTGAACCTGAACATGTTGGTGCTCCAGCTCGAAGCGCCATTGCTTGCCGGCTGATGAAAACTCAACGATATGACCGGTCGAGCGTCCAGCAACTAAAGCACGAGCCCCACGTCCATGCTGAGTTGCCAAGACTTTTACATAGTCCCCCTCCGGCGGTTCATTAATAGGCGGTTCGCTGGCTTGTGTCGAGACCAGCTTCTGTCCATTTTTGAACAATATAGCCGTGTAGTGAGGGGTCCTGCCGCTGACTCTCGACGTGGGCTCCCAGTAGAAGAACGAGTACGGACCGGCAGTTCCGCGGATAATGCGGAAGCCCCAGATGATCTTGAACCAGTTGTCAATAGCCCACAGGTGAAAATGGCCGCCCATCCCGGAGTACGACACCGACCCACCCCGGCGTCCCTTGATTGTCAAGTTACCCCGGACCTGGGCAGCAGGGACGGTGCCATGCATGTGGAGCCCCGGTGCCACCTGTGTTGAGCTTCGCGGCGACGCGTGTAATGTTCCGTCGGGGAAATGGCCCGGGCCGGAGCCGGCGAGGAGGAAGCTTCCGTGGAACTTGGGCGTCCTCACGGAAAAGGTGGTACTGGCTCCGATTTCCGTTTCTCTAGGGACGCGAAATTCGAATGAGTGGCTGTCAGACGTCCAGATGCTGGCCACGAAATCCCCGCAGTCGTAGATGGAGGATTCGTCGACAAAAGCAAGCTCTTGGATCTTGGTGCCGTCTGCCAGCAAGGCGTAGAACTCAACATGGAGATTGCCTTGCCCGAAGAACGAATAGGAGGCATCTCGACCGAGAGAGAGGAAAATACCACTCGACCCGTCGTCAGACACACTATCAAAGACCCACTGCTCCCAGGAAGTTGAGTTGATGCCAGACAACTTGCCAATGGTGGGGTGCTCATCGTGCTTTCGTGGACCAAAGTGCACATCTCCCGCTACCATCTCATGAGACCCAATTCGGTGCTCTTTGCATCCTTGTTTCCAATCTTGTGATTGGCTTTGGGATATCCCGCGGGAATCGTTGCTAGTATCATCGGCCAGGTGCTTCTGCTCTTGGAATCTGTATTCCGTCGATACGGTTGTGACAGCCTCGAAGAGGATCAGACCCCACAGCTTCAAACGAACCATCGTCTCAACGTTTCGAGCTTGTGTTACGACGTATTTAAATGACTCATTCGAACCTTAAACGGCAGTTGAAGAAAGCGGTGAGAACAACAGAGAGTAACAGATGACTAGGGGACACACAGCAAAGGGTTGGAACATTAGAACAGGTCTTCCAATTGATATAACCCATACGGATTGGCAAACACTACAGCTGATGGGGCCAGCAATAACTCTAATTCAATGTCATAGCCAGAGTTTTAGGCTACATGTGGACCACTTATTCGAACGGCCATACCGATCCAATAGGCCGCTGCATCCCGACCACTCGGCCTCCAGACTGAAAGCCCCTGAGATTATAGCTACTCAACACATGATTGGAGGTTGAGAAGGCCACCCCTAGTCGGCAATTATCATTAATCGGATGTTTAGTACGAGAAATCTCGGGCCCGAATGCGACTGAGCAGCACCACCCGAATAGTCCCGTGTTAGCCAACGTTACACTGCTTCAAGCAGTGAGTTGCTTCGATGTTATGAGTTTATGAGGGCTATGTGCAACAGGCGTTGGTAGTCAGGAGCTGATCACAGCATTTATCCAATTTCTATCTTCGAGCATCTGATCTCTCACACAATGGGCTCACTTGGTCTTCCGAACTTGCCCGAAAGGCAACGCGCCATCATCCAAGCTCAAAGCCCACCAGGGAAGCTGGTTCTTACCTCTGATCGACTTGTGCCTAAGCCAGCATCCGATGAAGTTTTGGTTCGCGTCCATGCCGTTGCGGTGAATCCATCAGATTGGAAAATGTCCACGCAGTTTCCGTGCCCCGGGGCCGGATGCGGCATGGACTTTTCCGGAGTGGTGGTAGCGACCGGTCCCGGGCTTGATCCGGAAATAGGCGTTGGAGTTGGTGATGCCGTTGCTGGAGCGGTTCACGGAGCCAATCCCATAGATCCTCAAGCCGGCTCATTTGCAGAGTATACTTGTGCTTTTGCAGATCTCACGTGGAAAGTTCCTCGGTCATTGTCATTGACAGATGCTGCGGCAATCGGAGGCTGCTGTGTGGCTACGGTCGGGCTTGCCCTCTTCGCTGAGGATGCTCTGGGGCTCAAATTCGAGTTGAACCAGTCTTTTGAGAACTCCAAGCCACCTTTCGTGTTGATTTATGGCGGAAGTACTGCTTCAGGAACTATGGCGATCCAACTAGCTAAACTGTGAGTCATTGAATCTAAGGCTTCCTGTTGAAATTAACGGCTGATTATGTCTTGCCCATCTAGCTGTGGCTTTCGTGTGATCGCAACCTGCTCACCGAAGAATGCGAACATGGTGTTATCATATGGAGCAGAGCACACATTTGACTACAATAACGCATCTTGTGCAGCTGACATACGGTCTTACACCAAAAGTACACTTCATTATGTCTTGGATACCATCGTTGACCCAAAGTCTATCGTAGTCGCGGACAAGGCCATGGGACGTTCTGGTGGTCGATACGCTGGGCTTGAGGCTCTGCCTGAAGACGTGCTTGGTGGCACTGGCAGCACTCGAAAAACGATCAAGTGGACGTATGTCATGGGTACCAGCATGATCGGCAGAGAGGAGGGTCTTACGGGGCCCTATTACAGCAAGCCACGGCCCGAGAAGCGTGCTTTTGGAAAGTGGTGGTTCCGTACTGTTGTCCAAGAACTCATGGATAAAGGGTTACTGAAGCCCCATCCAGTGAAGCTAATGGACGGGGGGCTAGAGGCTGTTCCTGGAGGAGTAAAGCTGTTGCAAGAGAAGGCAGTGAGTGGCGGAAAGTTGGTATACACAGTTCAGTAGATCATTCAAACGAACGTTACAGTAAGCCTGCAGAAATTCTTCTTTCAATACCTAGTCTTTGGATTTTTTTGAGCTAAAGAATTGTACAACCTCTGTGACGGGGACCTGGCACAGCATTTATCATTCAAAACATCCTTGACTAGATCCGATAAATTAACGGGAAGTAGCTATGCTTCAAGTGTAGAAAACGATGTGAAGTACATGATATCATACTGAACTGCAAAATCTCATCTCGAAGGCCGATTGATCCCCAGTTGCTTGTCGAGAAATGCGAAGGTTTTGGTCGCAAGCGAGTTCCACGCTCCAACTTTGCCTGTCAAGGCCCCCTCCCCCACAGTCTCTGGGATCCAAACCTCCTTCTTCTCGAGAGGAACATGAACGAGCTCATCCATTATGCGTTGCGTGCTAGCATCGGGGAGTTGGTAGATAGCTTGAGATGCTCCTGTAACCAAGACAGGACACCTTACCTGCGACAAGATGGTTGCCCCGCCTCTTTCTTCATCCACATCCTTGTCTTTGAAGTCATCATCAGGTCGCCATCGCAGAGAGTACCTCCTGAATTCTCGAACAACATCCGCCGGCTTTCTCTGACCCATCACATGCATTGTCGTGGTAAACTCCCATTTGGTAGGGAAATCCAACGACATGTGAGAATTGCATGACCAGTCAAAGAAGCCGTCTGAGATCCAGCCGCTTAGCCACATGCGCACATACCAGCCCGGTAGTCTCGTCATAGCCAGCTCCCACATATCGTAGAGTGGGTCAGCTGAGATGCAGGCTGCGACGCGGGATGGTTCAGCGGCGGCTGTTCTTAGAGCGATGTATCCGCCCATAGAAATGCCTGCTACACAGACGCGGTCAAGGTCGAGATTGGCATCGGGCCGCTCTTTAGCCAAAGCCCATATCCCATCAAGAACACGTGAGAGAACCTTTTCGTAGTCAGGTCTCATTGGTTCACCATCGCGCTTCAGTGTGAGACCTTGCCCGGGACCATCGAAGTTGAGAACAGCATAGCCGAGCTCTGGGCCCAGAGTGCCGAAGACAAAATACAGTTCTTCCATGGTTGAGTCTGCACCACCGCAGTTGATGAGGAGAGGTGTCTTCTGCTCATTTCTCAATCTCTTTGCCTCCGGGGGCAGGAACAGGCGACCTGGAATGTCGATGTTGCCGAAGTGAAATGTCATGTTAAGAACTCTGCCTTCCATGAACTCAGTGGCTTTCTCAAAGTGCTCTGCGCTGAGCTCGCCACACTTCAAGACGCGGCGGTCCAGCGCTGGAAGCATGTATGGGGCAGCTCGGTAGTAGTTGGCAGCCCTTAGGTAGGCGGCCTTGGCTAGAGGCGTAAGGCCCTGGCGACTGGCATCCATAGCGGCCTGGCTTGCCCTGCTTGCCTGCTTCCACCAGGCGCGATACCAGCTTTCTGGGTCATGTTTCTTGATCTCGCCTACTGCCTCAAGAAACTCGGCAACATCGCACCCTCCGGTAGCAGTTGTCCCAAGGATGCGTGTAAGCTCAAAGTTGTAAAAGGAAGAAGAGAAGAAGTGATGCATTGTAGCATTCGATGGTTGTTCGTTGAAGTTTAGAGAGTTTCGAGCACCTGCCATCGATAAGTGCAAAGGCTTTTCGACAGAGTTGATATCAAAGGGTGGATGCTTTCAACACGCAAAGGGTAGAAGCAACTATCATTCCCGTACACGTAAGATTCATACAGGCAGGGAACTTACTGCAACTCAGATCTGAACAGTTCTGGGGCAGATTTCATGGCCAAACCGCATGCAACTGTCACTTGTGGGGAGTGCAACTTTGGCCGAACTGGCTGGGGTTGTTCGGAGTGACCGGTCGGAGGTTGGATGGCTCTCGGAAATTTCCCAGAATACACTTCTGACAGGATCAGAACCACCGGATTTCGCATGACTCGACGCTTGGCAGCTACAAAGTCACAGAACAGCTTGCATTATTTGCGGACCGAATTAATATACGACCGTACAATTCCGAAGAATCGTCGGGGCTGTGTTGAGACTCTCGTGGACACTGACCCCGTTACCACGACAACACCCTGTGCCCGAGACACGACAGAAACCGCTGCCAAACCGGTTGTTTTCCTTTACGGCTGAGACAAATTTGTGACAGCTTCACTTGTACGCATCCAGTATTGTACAGACTTTCCATTTTTTTTTTTTTTTTGGAGATACAGCCAAGATGGCAGTGGCATTCATCCACGTTGCCCCGTTGATCACTTCTTCGGCGTTGTTAGTGCTCCTCGATTTCATCATGGGATATTGAAAAGGCTCACTGATGACAATGTGAAACAGTTTGATGGGGTCCTTTGCCCAAGGAGTTGCTTTCAGGAGCTTTCAGAACTCAAAGTTAGGGTCAAAAGCTCGTCGCGAAGTCTTCCTTCACTGGGTAGAAATATTCGCTGGTTTTGCTTGGTCCATGGCTTTGGTGTTCATGTTCAACATCACCTTTATTGGTCTCAACCTCTATCTGGATCCTCCATCTGGCTTGCAACACGGAGGTGCCCCTCGCTGGCTTTGGGCTGCCGCACTGCTATGTAGCATGGGACACCCCAGGCCTCGAGAAGTTACGGCAGCTTTGATGCGTATTAGCAGAGGTGGTGATCAGTCTTACAGTGCAGAGAAGGTGGACTACTTCTTACAAGGATATCGTCGAGTCAACCTGGAGCATCTCTTCCTCACAGATGGTCCCAGCTGGATCTTCACTGTGGCAGCTGTTACCAAGAACCTGGGTGTTTGTTGGGGATGCCATTCTCAAAAGGCTTCTTTGGCGCTTGGAATAGTTGCCTTGATCATAAGCTGCTATGTTAGCGTCAGGGGAATCTTGCGGTCAAAATCAAAGACTTGAATATAATCAATAAATTCCAATCGTTGATTCTGTCACCAACTTCGTCAGCTATAGAACTCAGATGTACGCGAATGTGTTTAGATCAGTATTTAGAGGCCTTGAAAAATAAAGAAGAAAACGACGAAGAGGAAGAAAATGCTGTTCGTGCGCTAACGAAGGGGATAATACAGTCAATGATGGCTGTTAGACTAGGTCACATAACAACTATTGACTTTTTCATAATGCTGCTCTTTTTGAGAGCAGATACATTGAACACCGATGAAGCGAAGCAAACGAGGCATGCAGAGGTGATGCCTATATTATCTATTTCAAGTAGTGCGTGTATATCTCACTCGCAGGTCGGGTAGAACCCATAGAGCCTGAAACTTGCGTTCTCTATCCCAGTCAAACCTGGTATCATTGACCAGTTCCCAAGTGTATTCATATGCAAGACGCGCCAGTAGTAGTTTCAACTCGGTGTAGGCCAAGTTGATTCCCAAGCATACCCGAGGGCCAAGCGAGAATGGTTGCGACGCTTCCTTCAAGTCGTTACAAAACAATGGGTCAAAGTAGTCGTGAGATGCTGGAAGCCACCTCTCAGGATGGAACTCTTCAGGCTCAAAAAAGTAGTCGGGCCGGCGAGTGATACTCCAACCACTGGTCGAAACGACAGTCTGAATCATCATAATCCGTTAGCCAGGCACAAACTTCTGATATCAGGTTACGCACCCCTTTGGGAACGAAGTTTCCATCAACTTCTGCGCCAGGGCTTTCGCGAGGCAACCCAAATGTCAACGGCGGCATGATTCTCATGGTCTCCTCGATACATGCGCTGAGATAAGGCAACTGATGTACGGTGGTGCCGTTCATCTCAGACGCATCTGAGAACTTCTCCTGTAGTTCTCTCTGCAGGCGTTTCATCTTCTCTGGTCTCCTTGCAAGATAGTATGATGCAGCAGTAGCGGTCACTGCCGTGGTATCAAACCCTGCCGCGATGAGTACACCAGCCTGGTTTCCAAGCCACTCTTCAGACGCCACTTGCAGGAAGTTGTCAGGCTTCTCCTTCAAAAGGAAGCTGAACAAGTCCCGCTTTTGCTGATGAGATGGCCTGGACAGCCTCTTTCTTGTCATTGAAGTCTGGTATTTGAAGAAGCGGATGAATTGGCCGATGGAACTCCAAGGCACAACGAGCGGTAGCGTGAGCCATAGTATTGGAAGACGAGGTGCAATTTGCACAATACTCATGAAGTAGATAGCACCATGAATTGTGCTAATCCATGGATGAGTTGTGCCTTGAGAATGATAGTGAGCATTTGGTCTGGTATTCAAGCAAAGTTGCTGGTAGTTGGGAGCCAATTACCTGTTCCGAGTGCGCCAAATGCTTCTCCTAAGGCTAGTTCTCCGATTGTGTCAAAGACGAATGACTGCAGGAGCTGTCTATCATCAGAAACTGACAACTATTATCAATGGAGTAGTTCATGCCTTGTTGAGTGAAAGCCCCTGTTTTTCCGCGGCAATCTGATTGTCAATCTGGGTGATCAACATGTCCAGATTTGTCTTCAAGATCGGCTCTTGAGCCTGAAGCTCCTTGGCACTGAAGCCATAGGACAACAGCTTCTTAGTCTCTTTGTGCTTAATTGGGTCTCTCTCCATGACTATGGTGCTGTATCCGCTTGGACCTGTGTAGAATGATGATTTGAGAAAAGTCTGGCCCGTTTTGGAGGGGTTGCCATAAATGTCTACACGAAAGTATGGTCAGATTGGGGAAGGCTGTGGTGTGACTTTTCATACCTTGCAAGCTTTGGGCAGTATTGAAGCTGAGTTCATTAGGGGCCAGGCGTACAACATCACCTTTCCCAAAATATCAGATAAATCTCTGCGAATGGCTGATTTTGCCTTTGAATCGGCGCGTTTACTAACCATATTTCTGATGAAGCTTGTGTATGTACTCATGATAGTGGCCAGTAAGCCTACAAAGTTAGACGATAATCCACAAACAACCGAGAATGAGGAGGTACACGGCTCACCAGTGGTAGACATAGGACAACTCAGAGACTGCCGCAAGCTTGGGGCCTGGGAATCGAGCCAAGGGGTGAAAGTAAAGGAGGTATACTGAACGGCAGATACCATATATGGAGAGCTATTGTGAAATCATTCAGTCAGCCCCGATTTTCTTTATGATAAAGCAAGGTGTGCATTTGAAGCACGAAAGATTTCGAGATCAGACTGACCGTGAAAATGGCAAGCTTCACTACCTCCCCTGAGTCCCATAACTCTGTAAAAACACCCATCGTTCCGTGAATAGACTATGCGATTAGACTGAAGAGCGCTGCGGCAATACGGTGATGAATTTCAGTGGAAGGCACCAAATGCAGCGATGTCGGCCAACTGTGTGCGGATCGAAAAGGAAGCTTCCATGCAAGGAGTGGGTGTTGGGTGTATGTGTCAACCAGCCTCAAAAGCGGGCTACTTGCCATGCGCACACCCAAAAGTCGGGACGAACTATTCCACCAATTCTCGCGATAACACGTCGGAAATTTTGGCTAGGCGAGCTATCATTGTCGGTTAGTTCGGAGGTTTGGGTGACGGGGACCATAGGCCGAGTCGGGTGAATCACGAGGAAGCGGGCCTAGGGTATTCTTCCAGTAAACACGACCGGAGCCGGAGGGAGCCGGAGGCACAATTGACTTCGATCCAAAGTGGTGACTCCGAATTAGTGACAGAATAGAGTTAGACTATCTAGATAGCCTACCGTATAGCTTCAACTAACACATTCTGGAAGCCTTTTGTCATTGGCAACAGCATTGCTTTGACTTGCCTGCTGCATCATCTGGTTTTCAGCCTTCGTAGCAACATCAACCATTATCTTAGTTTGAAGTATCGACTTCACCAATCAGACGAACAGCCATGAGGCAAGTTATTGAGCCTTCTGCCTCCAAGGCTAAGAGCAAATTGCAAGAGCCCATCGCAATCGTGGGTTCTGCTTGCCGCTTCCCCGGCGGTGCAAGCAACCCATCTAAGCTATGGGACTTATTGCGACAACCGCGAGATGTCCTTCGCAAGATACCCGAAGATCGCTTCAGCCCTGAGGCCTTTTACCACCCCGACGGCACCCATCATGGAGCCAGCAATGTTACCGAGTCTTATCTTCTTGAAGAAGATCCTCGTGTCTTTGACGCGGGCTTCTTTAGTATCAAACCAGTCGAAGCACATGCGACCGACCCGCAGCATCGCATTCTGCTAGAAACCGTCTATGAGGCCCTTGAGTCGGCCGGACTTCCAATGGAGGGAGTAGCTGGGTCTCAGACTGCGGTTTATGTTGGTCAAATGTGGTGCGACTACAACGATCATCTTCAACGGGACATGGACAGTCTGCCGACATATGCGGGTGTTGGGACTGCCCGAAGTATCTTGTCAAACCGCATATCACATTTCTTTGACTGGCATGGTCCTTCAGCAACGATTGACACAGCCTGTTCGTCCAGTCTAGTTGCCGTCTATAATGCGGTGATGACACTTCGAAACGAAGACTCCCCGATGGCAGTTGTCGCCGGTGCTAACATTATTTTGACTCCCGAGCCATACATCGGCGAAAGCAAGCTGAAAATGCTTTCCCACGACAGTCGATCTCGCATGTGGGACGAAGACGCTAAGGGATACGCCCGTGGTGACGGCGTTGCGGCGCTCATTCTGAAGCCCCTGTCTGCCGCCCTCGCTGATGGTGACCATATTGAGAGCGTGATCAGAGAATGTCTAGTCAATCAAGACGGACGAACTGCTGAGGGAATCACAGTTCCAAGCTCAGAAGCCCAGGCCGAGTTGATTCAGCGAACCTACGCAAAAGCAGGCCTGGATGCTCTCAGCCCTAATGATCGCTGCCAATACTTTGAGGCACACGGTACAGGCACCGGTGCTGGAGACCCTAGAGTAAGTCAGTCATGTCGGAATTGACCAAGTGTAAATCGCTAACTAGGTCGACAGGAAGCCAGGGCTATTGCCACTGCGTTCTTCGGTAAGAGTCACCGCAGCGACAACACCGCAGACAAGTTGTACGTCGGCTCCATCAAGACTGTTATCGGGCACACCGAAGGCACAGCAGGCATAGCCGGCATCATGAAAGCTTCGCTTGCTGTGCAACACGGTGAAATTCCGCCAAATCTTCTTTTCAACAAACTCAGCCCCGCAGTCGCCCCGTTCTACAATAATCTCGAGATCCCCGTCACGCCTCAAACATGGCCATCTCTTCCACCAGGTGTCCCTCGTCGAGCAAGCATCAACAGCTTTGGCTTTGGAGGCACTAACGCCCATGTCATCCTTGAGAGTTTCGACCAGAGCTTGCAACTCCCATTTGAGTTGAAGGAGAACGAAAACTCTCGGCAAAATCTGCTCTCGCCTTTCGTATTTTCCGCCTCGTCGGAGAAGTCATTGAAGAATCTGATTCAGCATTACGTTTCATATCTCGAAGAGAATCCGACGACAAACCTTTCAGACTTATCGTATACCCTGTCCCGTCGATCTGCCTTGTCTTGCAGAATCTCATTTCCTGCACAATCAGTCGAGGACTTGCTGGACAGATTGAATGAGTGGCTCAAAAAGATGAGGTCAAGTCCTGATGTATCTCACAGTACTCGCTTCTCGGGCAGCCCAGGCCAAGCTCGTGTATTGGGAGTTTTCACAGGCCAAGGCGCGCAATGGGCCACCATGGGAAAACAGTTGATCACAAATTTCCCGCAGGTTCGGTCTATTCTCACTGATATGGACCGCTCTTTGGGGGCCCTACCGCATGATCATCGCCCGCAGTGGTCACTTGTGGACGAGCTTCTGGCTGATACCACACGCTCAAGAGTTCATCTGGCCGCCTTCTCTCAGCCCCTGTGCACTGCTGTGCAAGTCGTCTTGGTCGACCTTTTACGAGCGTCGGGCGTTGACTTCAGTGCTGTCGTCGGCCATTCTTCAGGAGAAATAGCCGCGGCTTACGCTGCTGGCTTCATCACCGCCAGCAGTGCCATCATAATCGCCTACTACCGCGGAAGGGCCACTGCACTCGCCGGCCAGAATAAGTCTCAAAAGGGCGCGATGATGGCCATTGGCACATCTCTGGAGGACGCGGAAGAGCTCTGCGTCGTTGATACTCTAGAAGGACGCATTTCGATTGCAGCAGTCAACTCCCCTTCAAGCATTACACTCTCCGGAGATGCCGATGCAATCGAGGAGGCACGTCTCATCCTTGAAGACGAGGGCAAATTTGCAAGAATCCTCAAGGTCGACAAGGCATATCATTCCGAGCACATGCTTCCTTGTGTGGACTCATACCTTCGCGCGATGACGGAATGTGACGTGAGCCCTCGGCGGAACACGGATCAGACTTGCGCTTGGTTTTCCAGTGTTCATGCTGGTACCCGAATGCAACCATCAGATCCGGACCTGACTGGGAAATACTGGTGCGACAACATGGCCAAGCCAGTCCTTTTTTCGAACGCTGCAACGACTGCGTGGGAGCAACACGGCCCCTTCGACGCAGTTGTCGAAGTCGGTGCTCACCCGGCCCTCAAGGGCCCCTTCTTGCAAACCCTTCAAGAGCTGAACCCGAAGGCATCCAGCTTGCCCTACACAGGCATGCTGTTGAGGAACCAAGATGATGTTTCATCATTTACTCAAGGCGTCGGGGCTCTATGGCAAAACCTTGGCCACGGATCTCTGGATTTTGCTGCTCTCGATCGACGGATTGCGCCGAACAAAGCGTCCCCTCGACTTTTGAAGACCCTTCCTTCCTATACGTGGGATCACGACCGCGTCTACTGGCATGAGTCTCGACTGAGCAAAGCGTATCGGACGCGAAAGTCTCGTCCTCATGCCCTACTTGGCACGGTTACATCTGATGGACTGGAGACGGAGATGCGATGGCGCAATCTTTTGAGAGTCTCCGAGCTACCGTGGGTCAAAGGCCACACTCTTCAGGGCCAAGTTGTCTTCCCAGCTGCTGGTTACATTGTCACCGCCATGGAGGCTGTGATGGCTGCAGCAGGTGATCGCAGCCCTCGTCTTGTTGCCGTCAACAATGTTGTTATCAGTAGAGCCCTGACTCTTGAGGACGACGTCGACGTAGAGACTTTGGTGTCCCTTTCGAAAATTCGTCACGAGGATCCTGATGTCATGAGCGCCGAGTTTCAGTATCACGCATTGCTTCGCCGAGACGCTCCCAATTTGACATTGCTTGCGACAGCTTCAGTCGAGCTAACGCTGGAACCTGCTAAGGACTCTGACCCAGGTCCCATGGATCGTCTTCCCTTGCGATCTGGTGGAGATCAACCGAACCTACTCGAAGTCGTTACTGATGACTTTTACGACTTCCTGGAGGAAGTTGGTTATGGCTATACTGGTCCGTTCCGCGCTCTTAAGTCGATGCAGCGCAAGCTTGATTACGGAACAGGGAGACTCCAAATTCCCAATGAGGACTGGAATGGGACGCCAGTACTGATACATCCGGCCTTCCTTGATGCATCATTCCAGGCGATATTCCTCGCCATGGGTTGGCCTCGAGATGCCGGGCTTGTTGAGGTCTTCGTTCCAACTGAGTTCCAGAGCATCAAAGTGGATGTGGCCAACTGGAAGGCCATGATGTCTCGGCCAGATTTAGCAGACGAGATGGTCTTCGATTCAAGATTGCGACAACTGCCGGAGTCAATCACAGGAGACGTGGAGGTCTTCTCGCCCCCGCGCGATCCTGACAGTGTTGATGATGTCGCCACGTTGATTCAAGTGGAAAACATCAAAGTCGTTCCATTTTCTCCCGACAGCGCCGCCTCCAACCGACAACTCTACTCCAAGACCGTGTACTACCCCATCACGGTTGACGGTATTGAAGCATCCGGAGGTCGGCTCCCCACTGACCAGGAGCTCGATATGGCTTGGGATCTTGAGCGTGTCGGTATCTACTTTTTGCGTGCCATCGAGGAAGAGTTTGCAGATCCCGAGTCGAGGAGCAACATCGCCGTGCATCACCAGTATTTCTTCGACTTTAGCCATGACATTCTTTCCCGCGTTTCCCAGGGTAGCATGCCATATGCCAAGAAGGACTGGTTAAATGATACCTGGAGCGATGTTGCTCCCATCTTTCACAGATATCCCGACAGTCTGGACCTCCAACTAATGCAAAAGGTCGGAACCAACATGGCTGCGTCGATTCGAGGCGAAGCCAATATGGTGGAGATTCTTTTCAAGGATGACTTCATGGACAGATTCTACGCTGGAGCATTGGGTCTCGACCTCACCATGGACTGGCTTGGGCGCATAGCCTTACAACTCTCCCGAAGATATCCCCACATGAAGATGCTTGAGCTCGGCGCTGGCACTGGTGGCGCTACCAAGAGTATCTTCAAACACATTGGCAGCCAGTTCTCTTCATACACCTTCACCGATATTTCAGCTGGGTTCTTCTCAACAGCCATGAACGTCTTCAAGTCTCCCAAGATGATCTTCAAGATCCTGGATGCCGAGCGGGATGTCGTTGAGCAGGGGTTCCAGGAGGGTTCCTACGATCTGGTCATTGCCTCAAACGTCTTGCACGCCACCGCTAAGCTCGACGACACGCTTCGGAATGCGAGACGACTCCTCAAGCCAGGAGGCTATCTCCTGATTGCCGAAGTGACTTGTGCTGATGTGGTCCGAGTACGATTCCCATTTTCAGCCCTTCCAGGCTGGTTCAGGGGACATGACGATGGTCGACCGCTGACGGCGACAATCGACACCACAGAGTGGCATCAACGACTGTCTCGCACGGGGTTCTCCGGCGTCGACGCAGTTACACCGGAGTTCGAACCACTGGCCTGGCCGTCACTCATCATTCTGTCTCAAGCCGTGGATGAAAGAATCAATCTTCTTCGAGAGCCTCTTTATCACCAGCCATTGGAGGTACTTACCTCCGATGCCAACAGTGCGGAGAAGTCCCAAAAGCTTGTTCTTGTCGGAGGCCAAACAATGCAATCTTGTAGCCTGATAGGACAACTAAGCCGCATCCTGGCTCCGTGGTTTGCCGGCGCTAGCATTATTCGTGTCCGCTCACTCCTGGACCTCAGCAAACTCGAGTCTCTCGGGCCAAATTGTTGCGTCATTAATCTCGCCGACCTAGACACTCCAGTCATGAGTGATCTCTCGGATGAGTCTTTCGCGGGACTCAAGAAGCTGGTGGAACGACCCCAGTGCCTTCTGTGGATCACAAGCGGGTGCCAAGAACAGTCACCTGAGATGAATATGAGTATCGGCCTAGGTCGTGTGCTTATCCATGAGATGCCTGGTCTTCGGCTCCAATTTCTGGATTTGGATTCTCCCTACTCATCTCAAGCACCTCGAGTTATCGCTGAAACCTTTTTACGCTGGAAGACTCTTGCAGAGATCGAGCAAGATGACGATTCATCGCAAGCGCTCTTGTGGGCTCGTGAGCACGAGCTTGTGCTGGAGAACGAAATGCTCAAGGTGCCTCGCATCGCCTACGACGCCGCTATGAATCTGAGATACACTGCTTCCCGAAAATTGGTTACGGAGCCTACGAAGTTCCAAACTACTCCGGTACATCTACGCTGTTCCGGCACGTCCTGGAAGTTCCACAAGCATGCCACGGTTGGCTCCTCGGTCGAAGCTGATGACTGGCTGAAAGTGACTGCATCATCAGCCACACCCTCCTACGGGGGGCTCTACGCTGTCCTCGCTAGTCCTACCGGTGACAATACTCCGCATGTGGCATTATCAAACGTGAATGGCTCTCTGCTTTCGCCTCAAGATCTCGCAGCTGATCTTTCCGTTGACGCTGATGTGGAGAACCCGAATCAGTTTCTATCATCACTCGTTTGCGAACTTCAAGCAGCCAGCATCTTGGATGCTGTTCCACACAAGTCCTCGGTCATGCTCTATGAGGCAGATGAGGCGCTTGCTGCTTCCGTTCTCTCGAAGGCTTCAGAGAAGGAACTGAGAGTCACTTTTGCCTCGACCTCAGTCAGTTCAGGCAATCTGAAAAAGCCGGAGAACGCCTCTTGGGTCAACATCGAGCCACACTCTTCGCTCCGAATGATTCGTTCTCAGCTGCCACCAACGGTGGATATTATCGTGAACTGCGTTGAAGCTCGCAACACTACGCTGCCTGCGACCCTTCTCAGCGCTCTTCCCCAGCGATGCTCGAAGCTGGCCCTGCTCGATCTTGTTCATCAGAGACCTACGCATTCCTTCAACCCCCTCGACATCCTGACGATTGCCCTCAATCGCGTGTCTGGCAGAGTCATGAAGGGGGCGTCTACGAAAGCAAAGTCTCTACAGAACCTTGACCTTTCCGAAGATCTGGACATCGGGCTCTCTGTTGTCATTGACTGGAGCTCGGACAGTGGTTCAGTTGTACCAGCGGTCGTACCGCCTGTGGGCAATTATCTCTCTTTCAAGCCCAACCGCACTTATGTGCTCTTTGGACTGACAAGCGATCTCGGTCAATCACTCTGCGATTGGATGATTAATCATGGGGCACGCCATCTTGTAATGACCAGCCGTAGCCCCAATGTTGGCTCGAACTGGTTACGCACTAAAGAGCAGGCCGGAGTCAAGATTAGAATCTTTGCCAAGTAAGTCACCACGTCTGCTTCCAAATCGACGCATCCCGCATCACTCCTGACAACCTCTTGCTGACCAAGTTCTACAGTGACATCACTGATGAAGCTGCTCTGCGTGGCGTAGTCGAAGACATCCGGACTAGTATGCCTCCAATTGCTGGCATCGCCAACGGAGCCATGGTACTTCGCGACAAGCTGTTCATGGACATGCCTCTCGATATGATGACGCAAACCCTACACACCAAGGTCAAAGGTAGCATCTACTTGGACTCGATCTTCGGGGAGAATTCCGAGTTCAACCTAGATTTTTTCGTCTTCTTTTCCTCAATCGCTGCCGTCACTGGAAATCGAGCGCAGTCCAACTACAGTGCCGCCAACATGTTCATGACCGCCCTGGCCAACAACAGGCGGGCGCGGGGTCTCCCAGCGTCTGTCATGCACATCGGCGCAATCATGGGCGTAGGATACATGGCTCGCAACCTCACACGCGCTATTCTCGACAATCTCTGGAGCGCCGGTGCCACTTGGATCTCAGAGAAGGACTTCCACAATTGTTTTGCCGAGGCTGTGCTTGCAAGCAAACCAGACAACGGTGTGAATGGCGACTCTGAGTTCATAGTTGGCTTGCGTCAGCTTGTACACGGAAAGGACAATCCGGATAAGGTCCTAGTGATGGAAGATCCTCGTTTCAGCCACCTGGTCACCAAGGAGATCTCTTCAGAAGACGACTCATCTCAGGATGCGGGGGCGAGGAAGTCTACCTCAGTCAAACACCTGCTCAAGAGCGCCAAGACACCAAAGTCTGTGGAAAGAATCGTCCGTCGTAAGTGGATATCTCTCTTTCTTATGATATGAGTATACTTACATATTTTCGCAGAGGGCTTTGTCGCAAAGCTAGTCGCCACTCTTCAGTTGGACAACCAAATTCCTGAGGCCGAGATTCTTGGCTCGAGAGCCGATGAGCTTGGTGTTGACTCTCTGGTCTCAGTCGACTTCCGCACTTGGTTCTCTAGCGAGATGTCAGTGGAGATGCCCGTTCTCAAGCTTCTGGGTGGCTCTACGGTTCAAGAGTTGATTACATTTTCGCTGGAGAAACTCCCAGCTGCCTTGACACCGAGTCTCGGAGATGACAATGCAGACGAGCCCGAAGAAGAGGAAACACCCCAGCCGACACGCGATGTTTCTGGCCCTTCCAAGCCTATGCAAGTCATGGAGACTCATGGCGCCGTGGAACGAGCCACCAAGCAGCAAGCTGCGCCAGTTCCACTTCTTGAGATGCCCAAGATCCCAGACGATATTGAGACAAGCAAACCATTCATGCCAACCGGTAGCTCCTCAAGATCTTCGCCGTCGTTATTGGATGACGCATTCAGCGATAGTGAAGAAGACGGCGTGGTATGTCTCTCAAGCTCGGCAGGGTCAGCATCTCCTGAGCTTGTCACCCCCAGCAAGTTGCATTTCAGTCAGGTGGATCGTGAGATTCCCATGTCCGCCGGGCAATCTCGTTTCTGGTTCCTCAAGCATTTCGTCACGGACAAGTCAGCTTTCAACATCACTTTCTGGGCTCAGCTGAGAGGAAATATCAGAGTCGACGCACTTTCCAAGGCTGTTGACACGGTGGCCCAGGCCCATGAGGCCCTCCGCACCTCGTTCACCACCGGTAGAGATGGAACCCCTACTCAGTGCATCAGGGCAAAGGCGCTGTTGAAGCTCGAGCACAAATTTGTTCGCGATGAGAGCGACGCAAGACTTCTGTTCGATGAGCTCAAGTCCCATGAGTACGATATCGAGGCAGGAGACTTGATGCGTTTCAATCTCCTGACCCTTTCGGAACAAGTTCACTTCCTTGTCATCGGGTATCATCACATCAATATGGACGGCATCAGTCTCGAGGTCTTGCTTGGCGACATTGAGAAGGTTTACTTCGGGCATCCGCTGTCGCCGCCAGTTCAGTACTCCGAGTACTGCTGCAAGCAAAGTCAAGACCTTCACTCGAACGCTTTCGCCGATGAGAAGAGATTTTGGGCAAAAGAGCTGACCAATCCTGCACCGACTGTTCTTCCTCTGCTTCCATTCGCCAAGTCGACACAGAGGAAGCAACTTGAAAAGTACTCCCATAACCAAGCTCAAGGTCAGATCGACATTGCTGTGACTAGGGCCATCAAGGCCGCTTGCCGTCGTACGAAGACTAGCATGTTCCACTTCCTACTGGCCACCTATGCTGTTCTGCTGCATCGTCTTCTGGAAGTTGAAGACTTCTGCATCGGCATGGCTGATGCTGGTCGAGAGATGGGCACATTCGCTCAGAGCATCGGCATGTATCTGAACCTGCTTCCTTTGCGATTCGCCATGAGCAGCGGCCAGCGATTCAAGGAGGTGTTGGAGAGCTCCAGGCGCAAGGCGCAAGCAGCGGTGGCTCACGGGCGACTACCTTTCGACATGATTCTCCAGGAAGCAGCCGTCGAGCGCTCTGATACCTACAACCCATTGTTCCAAGCCTTCCTCAATTACCGACCTGGTGTTAGTCAAAATCGCACCTTCTGCGGATGCCAAGGTCAAGGTGAGGACTGGGTCAGTGGGACAACATCCTACGACATCATGCTGGACGTCATTGAGAACCCAGACAGTGATACCCTGCTTCGGTTCGACGTTCAAGGTTCACTCTACACCAAGGAAGAAGCCCAGACGTTGATGGACACCTTCGTGACCCTCCTGGAAAGCTTTGCCAACAACACGGACGTTCTTATTGACGAGCCACCCTTGTTCAACCAGGGGGAGGCTCAGAGAGCACTAACACTTGGAAGGGGCCCTGAGCATATCTCCGTGTGGCCAGAGACTGTCCTCCATCGCATCGATAGGATTGCCCGTCAGCAGCCTAACTCGCTCGCCATCATCAACGGTTTCGCGTCCTCGCTCACTTATTGTGGACTTAAGAGACGTGTTCAGGCCATCGCCCAAGCTCTCCATCAGAGTGTCGGAGGACAGCGAGAGGGACTCATTGGCGTATTCTGCGAGCCTTCCGTTGATGCTGTCTGCGCACTGCTCGGTGCCATGTGGGCCGGATTCGCATATGTTCCTCTTGATCCTACCCTGCCCGCCGAACGCCTTGCTGCTTTGGTCAAGACATCCCAGCCGCTTCTCATCCTCACCCACGACGAGACCATCCATCGTATTGCAGATCTGGGACCAACAGCTGAATACATCGCTCACCTCAACGTCTCTCATCAGCAACCCGCCAGCTTGAGTTCCATTCCCATTTCTGCCAAGCCTCAAGAACCCATGGCTGTGCATTTCACAAGTGGGACCACGGGTACTCCCAAGGGCGTAGTCCTCTGTCACGGTACGGTCGTGAATGTCGTCGAGGCATGCGCCGACATCTATCGGACAGCGTCCAACGTGGTTCTCCAACAGACAGCACTCAACTTCGACATGGCCCTCTGGCAGATCCTGGTTACCCTTTGCTCAGGCGGCAAGCTTGTCATCGTCCCACAGGAGAAGAGACTCGATATGACGGCTATAGCTCGCCTCATCCGCCAGGAAGAAGTCACTCTCACTATTGCCACGCCATCTGAATACTCCGCATGGCTCATGTACGGATCGGAGGATCTTCAGCACAACAGACACTGGCAGATTGCCGTCATTGGTGGGGAGCAATATTCACCTTCAGTGGACAGTGGGTTGAGAAACCTACAGCTTCCTCGACTGCGGCTGATGAACTTCTACGGACCTTCGGAAGTCAGCTTTGTCTCTCATTACGTGGAAGTCTTCCCAGGGATGGCTTGCGGCGACGACCCAGTTCCCGTGGGCTTCCCTCTCCACAACTATGCCGCTTACATCTTGGATGCCGCACAACGTCCTGTTGCCCTGGGAATGACCGGAGAGGTCTATATCGCTGGCGCCGGTGTCAGCAAAGGCTATCTCGACAACCCCAGCTTAACTGAGCAGAAGTTTGTTGACGATCCTTTCGTGCATTCCGATCTCGCAAAGTCTCAGAGCTGGACCCGCATGTACAAGACTGGCGACAAGGGGAAGATCAACGAGGATGGCACGCTGTCCATCTTGGGGCGTATCGAAGGCGACGCACAACACAAAATCAGAGGCGTCCGAATGGAACTCGAGGAAATTGAGAGAGCCATCTTGAACAACTCGGACGGTCTTCTCGATCAAGTCGTCGTGTCTCCCCGTGGGGAGGGCGAGAGCAAATATCTCGTCGCTCATGCACTGCTGAGTGCTCGGGGGCGTCACAACATCAACCGCGACGAGCAACTGAGGGACATTTTGCAAAACATTACAAACCTCCCCAGAGTCATGCGACCAGCCACAATCGTCCCTGTGACTAACTTGCCTCTGACGATTCACCGCAAGGTAGATCGAAGAGCTGCGGCAAGATTACCTGTGAACACGCCGCAGCTTCAACAGGCTTCCCCCGTCAGCCAGCATGAAATACCGCTCACCATTGAGCAGCATGAGATGTTGCGCCTATGGAGCCGCGTTCTAGGGCGCTGTCCGGTCGATCTTTCCGGTCCTGCTTCTGCAATCGACTTCTTCAATCTTGGTGGCACCTCTCTTCAGCTCGTCGGCGTGCAAGCCGCCATTCAGGCCCAGTTTGATGTTTCTGTCCCAGTGGTCGAACTGTTCAAGAAGAGCAGCCTGGGAGCAATGACAGCTCTTGTCGCCACTGAAATTGAATCAGTCAGTGATGACGAGAGTGACGTTGATTGGGAATCTGAGACGGCCCTACCCGACCTTTCGACGGTCTCCGAGGATCTTCTCTCACAACATCCAACAGTACCCGTTCGACAGCCACCCCGCGTGGTCGCTCTCACTGGCGCGACAGGCTTCGTCGGACAAGCTATTTTGCGTTCCCTCTTGGCCACACCCTCCATTGACAAGATCCACTGTCTCGCCGTGAGAGACACAACCCGCCTTGGCGAGATGAGCAGCGATCGAAAGGTAGTTGTCCACCAGGGCGACCTCCGAGACGCGTCTCTTTCACTCGATGACAGGACGAAAGAAATTCTGGCGCGAACCGTCGATCTCATCATCCACAACGGCGCTGATGTGTCCTTCTTGAAACCTTACGCAGCTCTTCGGGCACCCAACGTCTCCAGCACTAAGTTCCTGGCAACGAAAATAGCGGCGCCTCGACGGATTCCGATTATATACATCTCCTCAGCCGTGGTGGGGCGCCTCGCTCCAGAGTTGGACGCTTTCGCGCCGGTCCCAATGTCCCACCGCCCTCCTCCCCCAGGATATCGTGACGCCTACGGAGCTTCAAAGTGGGCAAGCGAAGCCGTTCTTGAGAACGCGAATCGCGATCTCGGTATCCCGGTGACGATCCGCCGTCTCTCAAGCGTGACCGGCGCCGGCATCCCGGAGTCCGACATCATGGGCAACCTTGTTGCTTACTCTGAGAAGCTGGCGGCTGTACCTGTGACCCAGAAGTGGAAGGGTGTCCTGGACTTCGTGTCAGTCGACCGCGTTGCTCAAGCTGTTGTTGCGGATGCTATGCGCCGAAGTCGTGCGGACGAGGTCCGATATCGCCACGACTGCTCTGATGAAGTAGTGTCGCTAGATGCAGATGGTATCAGCGGTTTCATCAGTCAAAGGCTATATGGCAAGCCTGTCAAGGTTTTGCTAATGACGGAATGGATTGGCAAAGCCAAGAGTGTCGGATTGAGCGATTTGGTATGCACATTTTTGGAGCAGGCTGAGAAGGAGTCAGGTATTATCACATTTCAGAAATTGCTGAAGTAGAGGTCAAAATCTAGAATTCGGCATTTTCTTGTAGACGGCGTTAAGGTATAAAGGCGCATCATGATAGATTTTAGGTATTTACTCAATGGATTGTCTTTCGTCACGTCATCTTGATACCTTGAACAGCGTCCATTTCTTGTGATACGGTGATTGATCTCCCAAACTCTGCGGTCGCCGGTTATTTCTGAGACACTCAGTACTGAAGCCTCGTCCTTGAAGACTGCCAACTACCTATTACCGCCTTCACCTTATGGCCAACTTGGCGAGAGAATGACAGCGACGGTGAAGACAGGTTGATCTGTTTCGCTTTCACTCCAAAGGCCTCGTTCGAATGAAATTCAATTGGATCTCAATTTTGTTTGCTACGCTATGGAGATGTTTGAAGCCTAGCCCATTTTCAACGTCTCAACTTTTCGATTGCGGCAACCCCTTAAAACTTCTCTTCATTATCCTGGCCCGACTCTGCCCCGGCCTCCTCCTCGTAGTCATCATGGTCATAAAATACCATGGCCCTAATCTCAATGCTAACCCTAGGGTCTAGCTTTGCTTCATCCAATCGCGGATCTTTGAATGCTGCATGAGGGCAACGTCTCACAACCCCCGGTCGCTTGGTTGTGTCGGCTTGAATGAAAAGCACCACGTCGTCTGTTTGCTGGTTGTCTTTGAAATACCAGCGGTGAGGCTTCTCGGGGTCTGATGCTGGGCACACTTCCAACAATTCAGAGGTCCTGTTGGGGTAGATGAATGGGACCTTGATGTAGTCCTTGTCCGGGATGGTTGTAGCATCTGACACGGCGAACGGGTCGCGGGTGATCGGCTTGCAAGGGCGCCACATCTTTTGTCATATTACTGACCGCCTCGATATATAAGACGCCCAAACTGGAAAGGGTTACATACGTTGATAATTTGAAAACGTGGTTTGGCCAGGAGTTCAGGTGCATCATGACCCAGCCACCGAATCGCAAGTGGTTCGGCAGCAGATGCAGACTGATCAACGTGAACGTTGTAGATAGGACCCAGAGTTCCTTTCTGTCCCACTTGAGATACACGGTTGGTGTGCATCAGAACTCGAATGAGTGAAGGTTTGGGTCTTCAGTTTGTTAGCAATGCCGGTCCAGTTTTCACCGCTTGGATATTGAGCGCCTCACAGATCTTCCTGTTGAGATAAAACTTCCTCCAAAAACTCGTGCATCTCATCGTAGTGGGCCTTTGTGGTCTCATCGAGCGGTTCCAAGGCCCCATCTCGGTTCTTCAACTCTGGAAGGACAGCCTCGAAACGAGTCTTATGCTTCACGTATTGAAAGCCATGTTTCATGAGCTTGAACTTATCCTCGATGCCTGTGACGTCGGTGACTATCACAGGTGAATCAACCTTGGGCGCGAATTTGGGAGGCTCAGGGCTAGTTCATCGTGTTAGATGTTGACAATGCATCTGTGGCGTATGGCGCACGTACCCCCCAATGATTGTTGGCTCTAGAGGTATGCTGGGATCACCTCCGTAATATTTCATAGTAGTATGGATTTCTTTGGCCTTCCTCTCTGCCTGGGGCGTCGAGTATGTCGGCTCTTTGGGGTCTGCATGGTTGGCAACCATTGTGATGTGGACTCGAACTGAATTGAGCAACGGTACTGGTAAAGTCTTGGATGAGTACCTTAGAGCACGCCTAAGATTGTCGCGATATTGAGCATTCACCTCGTTGGCAATGTTTTACGGGTATCAGCAAATGCTTCAACTTCTCGTCGGAGTTCAGCTTGCTTCAATTCAACTGCATAGTGCTACGAATCGCTACTTCGGTGGTTTTGGACGGCAGCCCACAGAGGCCGACGAAGTAGGATCGTATGATCGTCCAATTTGTGCGAACTAATAGACACTGCCAACTAAGAGGCAGATGATACGGAATTTTTGCGGACTTCTTGGGGGTATTTCGTAAGGCCCGTTGATATGCCAAGTCGCATGGGTTGACACTTTCGGTCCGCTGTAATAAGGGCCTTTTCGCACTACCTCAGATTTGCGGATGGGTTGTCGGGACTTTTGTGCATTCGGAAGTTATCGGTCACAAGGTTTGATGTAGAACTGGAAATTTGATAAAGGATTCTTGATGACTTCGGACAGACTCATCCTCTGCTTTCATAACCTCCGAAGGCGTCGGCATTAGCTCCCCGACAGATTGGCATTCGGCCGAGTCATTACGGAGACTTTGATGTCTGCATCGTCGGACATTGTCCTTTCATCCATTAACCGACTTTGCATTTGGTTACTCTCATGGTCATCGCCAATTGTATGGCACGGGTTTGCAATGCGATTCGGTTTCGGGGCATGCGTCTCCCAAAATGTTCGTCATTTGCCAATTCAAGCAATCACCGGCTTGTTGAGAGACTGTTCGAGTCCTTAGTAAACAGATATAAGTATTGTAAAATAGCGAGGCCTCGCATATCAACGCACTGCATTCACAGCATAGTGTAAAGAGTAGGCTTCAACATTGGAAACCATCGAATCAGTACTTCACCATGGCACCTGCTAGCATCGAAGTAGACATCCCCGTCAATGTCTCAGCAACCAAGGCAGCCTTTTCGACGAAGCCCTTGAAGCAGTCGGGAGCGCTGGATGCTTTTGAGTCTTTTGATCCGACACCCATTACTGGTCGCGAATACCCTACAGCCAACATTGTGGACTGGCTCAAGGCCCCAAATTCAGATGAGCTGATCCGTGATCTCGCCATCACTGGTAAGTGACGACACGGCCCGACCACCTAACTCCTTGGCTGTGCTGGTGCTGATATGGCGAACAGTTTCTCAACGTGGTGTCGTCTTCTTCCGCAAACAGGACGACCTCACTCCTGAACTCCAAAAGGAGCTCCTCACACGGCTTGGAGAGCTTACTTGCCGTCCTGCGGAGTCTGGGCTTCATATCCACCCGGTATTCAACGCAGAACGAGACGATCAGGGAGACGACCATGTCGTCAGTTACATCCACCAAAAACAGACGAAGCCTTCATTCGTGAGAAATAAGGACCTAGCACCTGATGCACTCTGCCCCAAAAAGCAGAACACTTCGGAATGGCACAGCGACTGCTGTTTTGAGCCAGTCCCGGCTGACTACTCGTGCCTACGTCTCACTACGTTGCCTGCTACTGGCGGTGATACTCTATGGGCCAATGGCTATGAACTATACGACAAGATCAGGTAGGCAGCGACCTCCTTAGTCACCAGACTCTTCCGCAAGTTAACGTGTTGCAGCGAGCCTTACCAAAAGTTCCTGGAAACCCTTACTTGCACATTTGAGCCACCTGGTCTGAAGCAAATGTGTGATGCTATGGGAATCAAGCTTTATGCTAAAGAGCGTGGTAACCCCGAAAATATCGGGGATGTAATCAAAGCTGTACATCCTGTCGTGAGGACTAACCCTGTCACGGGTTGGAAGAGCGTTTTTGCCATCGGCGGCATGGTCAAGCATATTAATGGTGTGACGGCTGAGGAGAGCAAGATGCTCATCGATTGGTTCCATGAGTTGGTCTACAAGAACCATACTATGCAAGTGCGATTCAAGTGGAAGGATCCCAACGACTTCGGTAAGCACTTCACCCAAGAAACCTATGACAATCATGATGCTAATCTTATTGTAAAAGCCATTTGGGATAACCGCAGTTTCTACCATTCAGCCACTTATGATTTCTGGGAAATGGGTGATCGGCATGGATGCAGAGGATCTGGAGTTGGCGAGAAGCCGTACCTTGACCCAAAGAGCAAGTCAAGAAGAGAGGACCTTGCAGACCTCGGTGGATACTAGACTCAGCGAACACTACTCCTTGGCACAGAAATAATAGTCATCGGAAGCGAATTGAGGCTCAAAATCCGGAAGCCCTTGATTTTCGTTGTTCTTAGTGAGTTCGTGATCTGATCCCTGCCTGCTCTGCCCAATTATCGCGCCAACGGCCAGCTTCCTTGCCAAGCTCTTCATCAGCAACAGCCACACCTGCACAATCACCAGAGGCACGTTTTCATTAATATTCTACGAGATTCCGACTAGTCAGGAACCTTACCAGATACTGTTCTGTGTGTTTTATCAATAGTTGCCGTGGAAAACAAATACCGCGAAATTATTACGCAATGACCATCTCACTGGAGCGTTTGGCGGATGACGTCAGCCGCTGAGGTCCCTTTGAGACGCTGTATTTGAGTGGACTCATTCACCACTTCCCGATCACTCAATCAACAACCTGCCAACCGCAACCCGCGATCTTGCGAAAATGTTCAAGAAGAAGCCCACGGTGAAGTCGCTTTCGCCCCTTCGGTCCTCCGACCGTAGAAAGCTCGCAGATCAGGTCATCAAGGACTACGGCCTCGACTCCAAGCTCGTGGCGACCACGGACGAGCAAACACCAGAGCAAAAGGCGGAAGCGCTCGCCGTGCAGACCAATCTCCGAAAATCTCTGTTCCCCGACAACCTCCAGTCCGCCCGCTTCACCACCACCTACGGCCCCGATCTAAAGCCGACCTCCGGCACCTACTACGTCGGCAGCCACGATGGCGAGGAGCCCCGCGTTCTATGGTTCCAGATGGAAGGCATCGTCTACCCCACGGTGTACACCCTCTGGGCCAATCCCGATATCGTCCCGCTTCTCCACACCCCGGGCATCGTCGTGAAAAAGCTTCAGGGGGGCGCCGATCTGATGACTCCCGGCTTGTTCGGCGGGCCGCCGTTCCCCGAGAAGGCTAAGAAGGGTGCTGTCGTCGCCATCGCAAGCTTGGAGAACCCGTCGGTGCCCGTTGCGGTGGGAGCGTGTGAGATCGACGTCAGCGCGCTGCAGAACGTGCGGGGTGCGAAGGGCCATGCTGTCAAGAATTTGCACTGGGCTGGCGACGAGATGTGGGGGTTCAGCACCGACAACAAGCCGGGCAGGAAGGCTCCGGAGGAGATTGCGGGATGGTTGAAGGTCCTGGAGGCGCGTGGACTGGTTGAGAGCTTGAGCGGGCTGTCCCTGGATGACCCGGATGAGGATGGAGGGGTTTCTCTTGAAGGCGACGCTACCGCCGAAGACGCCGGCCCTGCAGCACCCGAAGACGATATCCCCGACTTCACACAGCCCGAGATCGATGAGGCGTTCCGCAAGTCATTCCTTTTCGGCATCCACCAACACAAGTCTTCAAACTCACCGCCCAACTACGGCCTCGTCTTCCCACTATCCCAGTCTTATGTCATGTCGACCCTCATTCAGCCCTTTTTGCCGGCGCACACACCACAGCAAGCACAGCAGCTGCAGATCAAGAAGACATCATGGAAGAACATCAAGAAATTCATCAAGAGTCTCGACAAAGAGGGGCTTCTGAAGAGCAAAGAGAAAGGGCAGGAGACGGTTGTTACGGAAGTCAAGTTCGAGAACCCCGCGATTGTTGATTTCAAACCGTATCGCCTACCCAAGAAGGAGACGGCTGGCGGCACATCACTTGGTCGCGGTGAGACTGCCACGAGCAAGGTCGATGTTGGTGACGACGCAGTGGGACAGAAGCTGAAGATTGTTTCGTACTTTAAGCCCACATCCAAGCTTCAACCCATCTTCGACTCGGCCTCAAAGTCGCTGTTCACTCAGTCAGAATTGCGCGATGCCGTTACTACCTACATCGAAGGCGAGAACTTGGTGTCTGAGACGAACAAGCGCATCGTCAAGCTCAACCCGATACTCGCCAACGGCGTATTCACTGGCTCTGGAGCAGCTGACAAGGACGCCCTCGCCAAGGGCACCGTGGCCCGAGATGCTCTCATCGACAGGGTCTTGAGTGGCATGTCCACATCATACGCCATCGTCCGAAACGGGACAGACCCCAGCAGCGTCAAGGCCAGAAGCGGGTCGCCGCCAAAGATTCACATCACTCTCGAGACAAGGAGCGGAAACAAGACTGTCACTAAAGTGTCCGGGCTGGAACCATACCACATCAGCCCGAAGCCGCTGGCTGACGAGTTGAGAAAGGTCTGCGCTGGTTCTACAAGTGTTGAGCCGCTGGCTGGTGCGGCGAAGAAGACGGAGGCACAGGTCATGGAGATTATGGTACAGGGGCCGCAACAGGCCGCAGTGGTGAAGGCGCTGGAGAAGAGAGGTGTTGAGAAGAGATGGATGGACCTGGTGGATAAGACTAAGAGTAAGAAGCGGTAGAGCCTGGCTGATGTATTAAACTACCAAAACAATTAGATTCTACCGTCCCAGTATGCCGACAAGAAAATCGGCATAAAGTGCAGTTCATATGTAACGCCAGAAAGCTACATCACAACGAGTCCCAAATGCAGTCTTCGTTAAAACTTAAAACTCCAACTTCGGGTGACATCAAGAGATGGATCAGCATTGCCGGGGCTTCTGGGTCAAATACATGTTCTCTTTCGCGGACGAGGTCGAGATGTTACTACCATGCCACGAGAGCATGTTTATGAGCGCACGAAAATGTCCCGTTTGGGGCCAATTGTATCAAGCAATCAGAATTCAAAAACGGGGCGTCTTTGGGAAGCACAAACCATAGATACATTGTGCTCTAAATTATTAGGCTATCTCTAGTCATGCCAGCGGCATGTTTCTCGCAATCCGGGCATTACCCACGCTGTGGTGTGCTCTTCTGACGGTTCTCAGTCTTTGGGTAAGTTTGGAGGTGAGGAACAAAATCACCCCCAAGCAACCTAATCTCCCAAGTTGAATGCCAAGGTCGTAGCCGTACCTTTCCGACAATGCCAACGGCAGAATGGCAATCAGCAGGAGAAGCCAGACTATAACAGACAGCCCAAGAATATGCTTGCGAAAAAGATGATCTTCTGGGGAAATCAGGTCGAAAAGCACCGCGAATAAGCAGTTGAGGGGTTGAAGCAGGAGTATGTTCGTGGCGTACGATATCGTAACAAAGAGTGCGTTGCTGAGTCCACTTATACCGAGAACAATCATGACCGTTACAGGAACCACTTGCAGACAGGCTAGAACGGTGACCTGTTCCATCCATTGGTCCTGTCTGTAGTGCGACCTCAACTGGTCGTCGACGTCTTCCGCGGTCACCTCGGCGGACATCCGATCTGTGCGTCGTGTAGACATCAAAAACCTGGACAAAGGCATTGACGAATTACCTGGTACTTGTGTGGGTTCTGCTGAGGCTTCCACGCTCTCCCAGGATACCAATATTGTGTTGTGGGACAGAGTCGATTGTGTAGTCAGTCGTCTCATTCTATGACACTCTGCAGCATTGAATTCGGCCTGAGCTTGTGACGTCCCTTGAGTCTCGAAATGTGATCCAATGGCAGTCGAGACACTCAAGCCTGGAGCTCCTGTTACCATAGGTCGACTGGCTATGATTGGTAATACCGTTGTCATTATCGGTCCAATGAGCAAGAACACAGGTAGTATCTGCCCGAATTCCCACGAATCCTCATCGACTGTGACAGAGCCTCGCACGCCAATGATGCGTAAAGTGCCCCAAACCGCAGAAACAAGCAGCCAGTAAACCTAACAGAGACATAATTCGTTAGTGCTGAAGCCACGGGATACCTTGCAATGTCCATGTCGCTTGAACAAATACGTACATCTGAGAGCTCGGAGGATACGAGATCAGCATATAGACTTGCTGTCAAGTTTATCGCTACTCGGAGAAATAAGATGGAAGTCCAAAGTCTGGCTTTCCACCCCATACGGGGCTTCTGCAACAAAGACAAAATGCCTCTTATGTCAAACTTGTTAACCCTTGACCTGACATTCCGCCTAATAATGGTCGACCATTGCTGAATAATCTTAGCCATCCGTGTGAAGAATGTGAACACAGTCAGAACAATTGACGTTACTGTGGAGTGAAACCCTTCAGTTGAGCTCAAAAAGTTATCACCGTACTTGCCGGCCGCCACACATTCTGCAGCTTCATCGAATATGTATTCGCATTTCCTCCATTGAATGGTTTTCGATGCCACGGACGGATGGAAGAAGCATCGCGCGTTGGATCTCGGCAAGCCTCCGTCAGTGCGATCATGGACCATCCAGCTCATCCACAGCGTAGGCCCAATCGCCACTAGAAGTAAGATCCATAAGATGACCATGAGTCCTAATCGCCATCTTCGTTCATTCTGGTGCTGGTGTAGGTATGCTCGTAAAAGAGTAAGACACGCGATGTGTGTCAAATTTGAGAACCAAGCAAGGTAAACAACTACGTGCCAATGGTAAGCAGACATCTTGTCGAGTCCCATATTGATGTATGCGCTGACAAGAATACCCAAACCAGTGAGAAGTTGCACATCGCATAAGCTTAAGACAGACTGCAGATCGCATGAGTCAAGTCAGAACGATCAATGAAGCCAATGGAGCATAAGGTAATGCTACCCACCTTTCTCAGTGCATTCTCCCATCTTGCCGGGCTTCCAAACCAGGGGCGTTGGCGTAACCATTGGAACAATCTCATTCCAATGACATGCTCATCAACTGGATTTACTCCCTGCTTATTTGTGCCATCTGAGATAGCTCGTGTGATGTTGTCCTTGTTCGGGAAGGGATTCGCGTTGGGATCGAACGCAACAGCGTAACGTACGAATGCGAGCAACAGCACGAACCATGCTGTGCAGATGAATCCAATCAAAACCTAGAACGTTTAGATTAATAAACGATCACAGGAAGTCATATGCCGACCTGGCGGCAAACTTACCCCAATACCTCCAACATCGGGGTTCGGTTCCAGCTTCTCTGGCTTTGTGTAGCAGAGACTTTCTAGGTCTTCTAGGTACCCCATTTCATCGGGTGAAGACTTCTGGCTAGAGTCGGTAGATAATGTGATTCATCGCCAAGATGATACATCTCTCATCAAATGAAGAAGTAAAAGAAGACGAGCCAGGTGGAGTGTATGAGAGGAACAAACCTAGATTTTGACGCGAGACGCGCGTGTAATGTATGTTACAGGCCTTCGCGTACTTGGGAGCCTGGTCTCAAAGACGGCCCTTAGCCCTACAAAGCCTCCCTTGAAAGCCTGCTGATCATTGCTTGGCTTCAGCTGAATGGGATACGTCAAAGCTGACGAAGTCATGCATGGTTATTCCCGTTTTGAGAAGGCTGCTGAAACATCCAGCAAGTGAGAACTAGTAGCCACCACCTATCCACAACCAGTACGGCGCCACGAAATGCATTGCATCATAATGTACTTGATGTGTGCGAGACACTTCTTCTTATGTACGAGATTAGGGGGCAGGGAGACCTCATACTCAAACAACTCGCGAGACCAATATCCTCTGGGAGTCTGCTTTCTTTTGAAACTAATACTCTCTTCGTTGTTTGCTTCGGTACCGGAAACGAAGCGTTCGGCTCTGGGCTGCTTACGCAGCGACGTGAGGGTACTGATGGAAATTCTCCTATCGGAGGGAAACCAGGTTGAATGTTCTAGGCGTCAACCCACACTCGATGGAATGTAGTTTACCGCAAAGTATTGTTCACATAGCCAGATTGATTCATGCATCTTACAATCCACGATGCCCATTCAAGGGTTCGGCACGCTCTACAACACATTAGACTACTCATACTTGCTCTTAGTACTTCATTTCTCGGCATGGAGAATGTATGAAATTTATGCAAATATCGGAGACGAAGCGGCTACGTAACAACGTCATACCGCTCAAATAACAAGATTCTATTTCCAAATAAGGAGCATAATGGATAAGACAAGTAATCCGAATAGCCAGAATGCCACATCAAAAGGCATTGAAAATACAGTGACGGATACGACATCGATTCCGAATAGAGCCCAGAGATATATGGGTATTCCCCAAACCTCCCGCCTCATCCCACCCCCTTTTTGCATTGCGAGGCCCAAAAATATTGCACAAAAGCAGTTTAATGGCTGAATGATGACAAAATTTGCCAGGAAGAGCAGGATATTTTCTGAATCCAGATCGGGATCGGCCGCAAAGATTCCGATGATGCCTATCCTTACGCCATGGAACGCAAGAAAGAAAGCGACAGTGATAGGGATTACCTGGGCACAGGCAAGCACAATCACTTGATCCATGCACTTCGACTTGGCATAGTAATCCCTGAGCAGGCTTCTCAGGCTCTTGGTATCGATCATGTCTGTTTCTAGTGACCCGTTGCAATGAGCGACGAGTAAGTCGCGCGTCTGCGTGTCGATGTCTTCTGTGTCCATGTGCCGTGTAGACAGTAGGCCCCTTGACTGCTTTCCGCCAAAGTCTGTCGATTCAACGTGTATGTGGGACACCTGGTTGAGAGGTTGAATATCGGTTTTCAGGTGCCTGTTATCAGGATCTGAGACCTCGCTCATAGTCGATCCCGTATCGTGCAGGCGAGTACTGATGGTCTCTGATAGATCCATAGTCGATTGTCGCTCAATCTGATTTTGATTCTCCTCCGAAATGTCTACCTCAGATCCCGTGCTTCGTATCTCAGTCGTCTTTTTCATTGCCCCTAAGAAGGGCACGGCGAACGCAACGACGGGCCCGATGAGGAGAAAGACGGGAAGGATTTGCCCAAAGCCCCACTTGTTCTCGTCGATGTCGACAGAGGCGCGAACTCGAAGCAGACGCACCGTACCCCAAATAGCCAAAGTAAACAGCCAATATGTCTAATAGAGTTGATTAGCATTAGCAAGATTTGTATCATCCCGGTGGTCCTTACATCGACGAGTTCCGAGGAAAGGATGTTGAGATACGTATACAGCATCAATCCCCATGAGATTCGAAGAAGAATACCGATGTACCTCATCCTCGTGATGATGCTCCTTGCTGAACGTTTGCTCTGGGCCTTCATCTGTTTAGCCGTTCGTACTAAGTACCAGTTGATAGGTTTGTCCAGAATCGACATCCGAGTCCGGGAGGACCAAGACCTGTTCATCTTCACCAACCGGGTGAGAAAAGTACAGATTGCCAGAATGACAGAGAGCATAGTTGTCTGGAACGAGAGATGGGATTCCATAGGAATGTCCGTAGGTCCCCAGGTGTCGGAAGCCACGCATTCGTCTACTGTGTAGGTGACATTCCCCCTCTCCTTGTGGAGTTCGACTGATGCCTGACACGCTCTCCATTCCATGGTGTTCAGTGCTATGGATGGATAGTAGAAGCACCGCGCATTCGTTGTCGACACATCCCACGCAAGATGTTCTTCGGTTCCCATCCAGTCAAACCAAAAGGTTGGTCCGATCGCTACCAGGAGACCCACCCATAAGACGAACATTAGGCTCAGGCGCCACCTTCGCTGGGTTGGGTGTCGGTGCAGATGTCCACGAAGGACAGTCATGCAAGCGACATGGGTGAGGTTTGAAAACCACACGAGATAGACGATGATGTACCAGTGGTATGCCGAGATAGTATCGATGAACAAGTTGATATAGCCGCTAAGGAGGATCCCGAATCCTGTCAGCAGCTGAATATCGCACATCTCGAGCACGGCCTGTGACGGGTTAGACCATTTCGAGTTTTTATCAATGATCTATAAGATGCATGGGAAAGGGGACCCCATGTAGTCTCGAAGGACCTCTCACCTTCTCTAGTACCCCCTCCCACAACTGTGGGTTGCGAAACCATCGTCGCCGCCGCAGCCATTGACATCCCCTGACGGCCACCTCGTCCACATGATTAGGCTTCCACTTGTGATCATCGAGGCCGTTTGCTGATCGACTCTCGAAGGGGTTCTTATGAGGATCGAAAGCAAATAGAAACCGGATGATCACCAGCAACACCACAAAATAAGCTGTTCCCACGAAGCCTATCAAGACCTTAATTGGTAACACCCATGCGTCAGTTGCGATATCACAGCTCTGTGGCCTGGCGACTCACCCCTATCCCGCCGATTTCCGGGTTGGCTTCAAGTTCAGCTGGTTTTTTGTAGCAGTCATCGGCTGGGTCAAGTACTGACGGCATTGTCCTCTGGGCTACAAACGTTGTCATGAAGCTTTGCCAGAGAGGCCGAACCTCAAGAACTGGGACAATGAAGATGCATATATGCTTCATACTCTATGGCATTATACCGTAAACGACTGAGACAATCTTGCGCCATGGCCGTTTCCGGCAGTCTAGGTGCTGGCATGACCAGCCCCATGTGTGGCGGGCTTCGAGCCTCTTAGCGGCTAAACACTTAGTGGACATCAGTGGACATCCGGCAAGACATGCCGCGGGACGATTTTTCATCGGCAGTTTGCACTGTCTGAAAACACCAAATAGGTTTTGTAGCTACAAGTTGGGCGAGGCATTGAACGGAGGGTAGTTAGCCGCGACGAGATCTTTATTACAACCAAGCTCTGGTGCAACTCTCACCGCCCGGATGATTTCGAGCCTGCCTTGGACGACTCGGTGAGGGACTTGGTCGTCGACTATGTTGACCTATACCTCATGCATTACCCCTGTGCCTCCAGGCGTGGCCCCGACTTTCTGCCCCTGGGGTCTCATGGGAGGATTTCTCCCAACTCAATTGATTTTGTCGACACATGGAAGGTCATGGAGAAACTGCTGCCAGCTGGTAAAGTCGAGGCCATTGGTGTATCCAACTTTAGTCAGCTAGAATTGGAGCGAGTCATGAAAGAGTGTAACGTCGTAAGTAAACGGAAATTCGTCATGCCGCCTGACCTGCAGGCTATCGTGGCGTCCAGCATCTTCACAGTCTGACTCGTTATATCTCAGGGTCCGGCTATCCACCAGACGGAGCTCCATCCCTCCCTACAGAAAAAAGGCTTCGTTGACTGGCAGGAATGCAAGGGAATGAAGATGATGCAGTTCAGTCCCAGCGGCAATCTCAACACTTTCTGTCGGGACGTTTCCTGGGCCGAAGATGTATTACAGTTGGTTCGCCTGATTGATCACTCAATTCTTCGTGCAATTGCAAGGAAACACGGGAAGTCGCCGATTCGGATTGCGTTGGCATGGGGTGTAGTGAATGGTTACTGTGTCATCCCGAAGAGCATAATCGAGTGGCAGATCAAGCAGCATCTCGAGGTAGACTCTATTCCCCTAGACGAAGAGGACTTGCAGCACGTTGCAAAGATGGATAAGAAAGTACAGTTAACGATGCTACTGAGTTGTTTGGGTACAAGCCTCATGTTGGCTTTGATGGTGTCGCGTCATAGAGCGAGCGTTCTTAAAAGCTCAGGCGCCAGGAGGTTACGCAAGTATGTCACGTGGTGTTGGCACTCCCAATTCACAAGTTTACTTTTGAATTCTGTCTCAGTAGTTGATTGTCAAAGTCTTTTCCTCCTCCTGTTGTTACATTACGAAATGTACAAGATAAAATCATCCAGCCGCCCCTCCTTGCTTAGCACTGTTATCTTGGTAACCTTCTTGGAACTCAACGATTCCCACTCCTCACACATCTTGCTCATTGTGTAGTAAAATTCTGCCTTGATCAAATCGCTCCAGCCAGTGCCGTTCTCTTCAACCGTGAAGTCGGTCGGGGCTTGTATCCCAGTGGATACCCGAGCGTCCGTAATGGCATCTGTCGTGCCCTGGTTCGACACCTCCCTGATCTGAAGCGAGTTGAGCTCCGAGAGAGACATGCCGGCCCGGACCCAGACGAATACCATGATGTCACGCAGCTTGAGTCTCGGCCGCTAGTCGTACCACGCGTTATAGGCTTCTTCAATGATGATGCGCCCGCGGCTTTTGTCTATGAGAAACGTGTCGAGACGCTGGCTGTTGCGGTGGACTTCCCACGTATCATCGTACTGTTCTACGGTGTAGCCGTAGTCGTCGAGCTCGTCGTCACACCAGACGAGGGAGGTCAAGCTCAAGAGGATGATGAGATGATGATGTAGAGATTTCATGCTCACGACTATATGAGTGGTATTCCAATATGGAATAGTGAACAGCGAATTTTGTTCTTGTTTTTTGGGGGTGGTCGGAAGTGAGGAAACAATGCTAGTACCACAACCATTGAGGTTCAACAATTGGCAAGTAACAGCTTTTAAGATAGCTAGATCTTCGGCGGATGGACCAGAAGGCTGGTCGCAATCATTTTGCCGAAGCTGACGTAAATAAAGTCTTTAACCCGACAAACTATCGGCTTGATCGAATATGAACTTCAATTTCAGTGGGGTTTTTCATCAACCGCAACTTTAAAGTTCCAGTGGGAGTCACAGCCCGGTCGTCGCGCTGCGCAATCCGGGACTTTGAAGGCTGAGATGCCTATGCAATAATCAGTACCCTGTCCATCTTATGGAAGACTCAATAAAGTGAGCTCTGTGGTGGACAGAGGTGCCCCAATATCTTAAAGCCAGCTCAACTAACGGAGAATTTTGATTTAACCAAACTTTAAGGGCCACTGTACTTATTCATGCGACATCTCAGCGGAAATTACCGACGGCAGGCGGCGGGATGGCGCGATCCTACGCAGGCAATTAATTTATTTCCAACTTTATTGTAGAGACCCTCTTCGTCTTCAATTGCCATTCTACTCGGAGTAGGTAACCCTTTAGCGGTGGTCTTGGCGTAAGGAAATGAAGCCTTTGTTAGCTATGCCTTCCTCTGGAACCCAACTTCAGCAAATACTTTTGATGTGCCCCCAACATTAAAATATTCTTTTTCTTTGACTGACCCATCATGGTTTTCCACTGGAAAATAACTTGAGTTAGCACCGTCGAGTCCACAAGCGAGATGTCTTTACAACTCAGAATATTCCTCCTCAGTCTCTTCCTAGCAGTCGCTGCCGGGGCTGGCGATATTTGGAGCAAGTGGAAGAACCACAACGATATTGTCGGTTTCCCTCAACCCCAGGCTTCAGACTATGAGCAAAACAAAACGCGACTGTTCAAGCCAAGGCTTCATGTTTGGGGCGGATGTCTTCCCTACCCAGCCGTAGACTCACAAGGCTACCTCGGGTGAGTCTTCTCACCCCATTTTCATCTACCTCTTTCGTCCTCTCTTGAGATCAAACTCTTCTATCCAAGCGGCGCACAATATTCTAACAAATGCGTCCTTTTAAAGGTCTGGACTCAAACCAACAGGCAAGAAAAGCGGCGACTGTTGGGACACCAGTCAATCCGGCCAGATCTATGCCCGGACGGGCTCCAGCCATGGCCGAGATGCCATCATGTACGCCTGGTACGAGCCCAAAGTCCGTTGGGCCAAGGGCAACAGCAACGGCCACAGGCACTACTGGCGTAGCGTCGTCGTCTGGTTGACCCATAATGGCTGCGACTTTGACAATGTTGCGGAGCTCGCGATGGCTGGCATCAGCTACTCCACCGACGTCGATACCTACGATACGTCGATCTCCGGCAAAACGATCTGGACAGGTGGAGATGGAATGAGCCCCACCGCGACCGACGGAAAACACACGCATCCGCTTGTGTCATCATGGGGGAACAAGAACTTGGGGCCGTCGGATGTCGGTATGGACGGCACGTTTTCGCAGCCCCTTATCGACTGGACGTCGCTGACCCAGCCTGCCCGGGATGCGCTGAACGACGTCATTTACGAGCACACGAAGGTGCCCTTCAGCGACACCAACCTCCAGGGAGCTCTTGATGCTGCTTACAATGCCGGATTCTACCATGGTCATGTCTTGGACGACTGCGGTGATGATCGGGAGCCGGTACAACAAGGTGACGGCAAGAATGAGCCGTTATCAGCCATGGACGATAAGGACGACACAGGCAAATCCCGTCTAAGGCGGCAATTGCGGTATTTCTAGCTAGGATGTTGCTGATTTCTTGCCTAAATATCCACTCTCAATTAATGTAATCCTAGAAATAGCCCCAACCGAGTTGCAAAACTCTCATCTATGAGCATTTTGTCGAGAAGAAGATCAGTTCTAGACTGTTTGGTCATTTGCAGACTGAAACATAATTCAAAATTTGAAACATGAGGTCTTCGGAGGTGTTCCTAGCGGTAATACCTCCAATATGGATGGTTCTCCATTTGGCCTCCCTCATCAAAGTCAATCACCACACCCTCGGGAGGCTTTCCGAACTCTCGATCTCTCCGTCTGTTCTCCTTGATCGTCAAAATTGTCATGAAGGCGCTGCCAACACCGGTCCAACATGTGGCTGCGAAAAGTGTCCAGAATCCCTTTTTGTAGGCCGGACCATCTGTTGACTGGAACAGATATCCAGTGGCAATGCCCATAGTACTTCCGAAAGACTGAAACAGTCCAGACGCGATTCCCTTCTTGATATCTCCACAGCAATTGCTTGTAATATTACCAACACTCAATGTGACCCCCGACAGAATACCAGTCAAGATCAAGAACGTGGCGCCGTATCTTGCGCTCGCTGCCGTGTGCGGTAGGACGGCCAGTAAGAGATCTCCAGTAGCCGCGACGATAGAACAGATGACCAGCAGCCCCGAGCAGGACTTCAGTCTGTCACTCGCGTATCCAACAACAAACACCATGACAAAGGCGACGCAGTAAGGCGGTGCTACCATCAGTTGAGCTTTGACGTTGTCGTATCCAAAGGTTGCGACGATGATGGGGGTGAAGGTCGCAATCGTGTAGGTCTGAAGGACCTGGCCCATGTAGATGAATATGTTCATCCACAGTCTCCAGTCACGGAGTTGATTTAGTGTAGTCTTCCAATTGATCTTGCCGTGGGTCCTGTTACCGTCCTGCATCATCCGCCAGGTAGCGACGTCGCGCTCTCGGGGCGTCAGCCACTTTGTATTATGTGGGCGATCTGGAAGAACCCAGATGCAAAGTAGACCGATGAGAATAGTGAGAAGACCCTCGATGAGGAACAGCGCTTGCCAATGTTTCACACTCGGATTGGAAATGTTTGCAACTCCGTATGCGACCCATCCGCCGAAAGCGCCAGCCAAAGGGGTTGCAGAAAGGTAGATGCTGATGCGACGACCCCATTCATGTATCAAGTTAAGCGATGTCTGAATTCGAAGGTAATTCAGGGTAACATACCGCTCTTGGATAGAGTACTGTC